CATATGATGTTTTACATTGCTGTCTGACACACTTCTTGACCTTGAGGTTTCTCACACTGTGAAGTCATGAAGACTCCTCTGTATGTTTCAACCCACTCATCTCCCAGCAGAAACCTGTCCAGGGAATCCATCTCCTCCAGGCAGCTGGCATGCTTCATCTCTCACAACACTGAGTGTCACTTGGCCTATCTGTGTGAGCAGGGGCAGGCCACAGAGGTGACATTTAGTTCTGTTGTCTGGAAGTGTAATTGAATCTGCATGGTGACATCACAGTGAACATGCACACCCTGAGGTGATCTGCAGGGACGCACTAACCCCAGCCATTACACAACAGAATGTCACAGCTGCTGATGGACTGATATGTCATGTCCATGTCTGTGTTACATGTTTAGCCAGGAGTCAGGTAATTTTATAGAGACAGCAGCTGAGAGGATTGATTTGACTGGTGAGGAAGGAAGGGATGAGGCAGGCTCATTCTGAGGAACTGGGTTCCATTCCCCATGTAGCATGGCGCTGGGGCCCTGTTTTTTTTTCCCCATGTGATTTTGGAGGAATAGCAGGGATCGAAATAGTGCTTAACTTGCATGCCATAACACGCTGGATATTGAAACAGCATGGAAGAAATAATTTCAATGTGCCCTGGCAGCGCAGCTAAAATAATACTCACCATGATAAATTCGATCAAATACTTCAAAACCTATTTTTGCACCTCATCAAACTGTTTATCCATGGCACCCTCAGTCTCACAGCTTAACTCGGATGAGGCCATTTTGAATGTATAGTTTGTGAGTTACTCTTTTGGGTCAGGTTTACGGTTTTACATGCGGTTTCCTGATTGATAAATTATAAATTCAAATTGTTGATGTTTTCAGTTTAATTGGATCATCAAAAGGTATGGGTACACATATATTCATAAAGGCACATCTAAATCCCGGTGGCCAATGGCACCCCTAAATACATTGCATTTCTATCCCTGAATAGTTTGATAAAGAGCAGCATTAATCAGTACTGCTGCTGTCACTTGGTCTCTGAACACTGTCAGTCTTTAATAAGTACTTTTTTTATTCAACGTTACTTCTTAGGTGTGGGTGGACTTTATGAAGTTGTTTCAGATCAGACAATTTAATATAAGGAATGATATTTTTCATTATTTTTCCAAGTATTCTCCGAATTTATTTTACTTCAAATGTCACTTTTGTGAAACATATTATTACATACATTACTATCTGCATTACAATATACATATTCCAATATTTGTATTACAGTATTTGTACACATTATAAAGTCAGGGGGAAGGCAATTTTCAGCTGATCCGTGGATTTCCACCATTCTCCTTTCCCCCTTCCCCTCCCTTCAATGACACAATATTAAGTTTTCAGTTGAAAATATATTTTCTTGTTGCCATCCGTGTAAAGTACCCCAGATTCTTTGCTAACATTTTAAAAAATATATTGATCCCTGTTATCTAACTTGAGGCACTACTTGAATATCATTTTATAAATATTCACTAAACTATGAGCAATTCAACAACAGTCAATTTCATATTATGACCTACTTCTATGTATCATTCAGCTACATTGCAGATATAGCAAGAACTGTTGTTATAAATTAGAATCCCAGGTCAAAAACAAAATCAAGCCTGAGCTGCCATGTTGCAGCCCTGATTGAGCAATTTTGTTCCACCCATGTAGACGTATAGAGCTGCATCAGCCCATTTTGTTAGATGAATTAATAGTTGGTGATAAATTCAGCCTGGATAACACCGAGTTGTTTCACTGCTTGCATGTTAGTCGGACTTTGTAATCAGGTGAAGGGAGATCATTGGATTGTAAAATTGCATTGATTTATGCGAGGTGTGGTGATAACTTTACAGATGTGCTTGATTTATGCTTGGACAGATAAGCACAATTAATTCAGAGCCTCCTTCACAAAAAACATCCTGTTATCGTTGCAGTGTAATTACAGTTATATATTTCCAGGGAAACAGCTCTATTCAGTCAACATTTTGTTGAAATTCAGTATTTACAGTACTGAAAAACACCAGTATTGCCTACTTGAATTTAACTTTGAGTTTAATTATTGTAATACTTCCGTTACTGGGAATGTGTTGGAATTTTTACAACCATCATTTGTTATTTGTCTGTTTTCTTTACTTGTTCCCAACCTACCAGTCATGATTTGTCACTTTTCCTAATATTTTCTTTTTCAAATGTTGGAAGTGAAAAATGCTGTTGATATATGAAAGAAGTTGCAAATTGATGAGTCTGTTACATGTAGTTCTGTGTTTAATTATGGCTAGACTAATGTCATTACACACACTTTACTTGCTCTCTCACCTTGCTCACTGACTTGTACACATAGACTAAGTTTACATTTATTTGACTGTTACTTATTTAAACAAAACATGCCCACCCTTACATTCTCAGTAATGTGTCAACACTGGATCTGTAATCCTGTGGGGGATTCTGTGTTAGAATTGGTACCCAACAACCTATACTTGTAATGGGATTGGGTGGTCAGGCTTGGTGACTGGGTTTGATGAACACCATTTTATCCCAACTGCAGTGTTTACGAATGGTGTTTCAAGGTAACAGGACATTGGGTCCTGCAAGTTTCAGAAGTCTGTCTGACCCATTGAAAATTCACAGGACCCATAGAATAAAACTAAACATACATTTTGGATTTAACATTTCTTATAATTGGCATTGAAATTATTAACAAACATAATATTTATAAACAGCAAACAGGTGCCACATGTCCCATATAACAGCTTCAGTCAAAGTCATTGTGAAATATACAGTCAGACACTGGGGCAGGTGGGTTGTAGACTTCTATCGGACCATTGGCAAATCTGCCGGATTTGTCAGACACTATTCGTGAACACTGAACTGCATTGATCAGTGCTTGTGATTTTAATCACTGGATTGTCAGGTCCAGACAGATGTCTGTCGTAAATCTGGCACTTTGCGGAGTGCTGCTTTAAACAAGAAACAAGCTACAGGAGGCCAAATGAATTGGGTGGCCAAGTGCAGTGACTTGGTAGATTCCTTTAAATTGTGCTCTTCATGATTACTCACAATGACAATGACTGGTCTGTTTGATTAAATACAGGAAGCTGTCGTAAAGCTAATATTTGCTGAGTGGTGTTAACAACAAACAAACATATATTCCAGTCCATGCCTCTCTGTACCTTTAAAGTCTTGAACAGGGAGTCCTGTATTTGAGGGTCCCTGGGACTCAATTTTCAAGGGTCCAGACACTTAAGTATTATCATTAACACTGTTATTATATTGTGTATCATGATCATCACATTGTTACAGTAATTAAATTGCCAAAAATACCATAACCCAGCTAATAGCAAATTCAATGATAACTTATTGTCACTTGATTGGAATTTGCACAAAAAGTATTTGGACTTTTTCTGAGTCCGTGTGGACATGCTAATAAATTTTGTTGCGTCCATTGTCAATTTTTATGCATATAGGATGCAGGAATTTGCGTCCTGTAAATCCCTGCTTGAATCTCCAGACTTGAGTCAAAGATTTTTTTAAATCAGCTTCTCTATTTGTTCAACACAAAATATCTTTGACTCGTGTTCATCACTTCTAAATGCCCCTCAAAGAAGTCATCTCCAGGCTGGCCAAGTTGATTCCTGTTGTTAATCAGTGTAATATCCCCCTGTGTATTGCCATGATGAGTAGGATTAAGCTGTAATTAAGTGGTGAACACCTCACACCGCCACTTCCACAGGGACATTGTGTAATGAACTACTGGAGTCCACCTCATTAGTCAATGGAGGATATATGCTCTTAATTAACAGAACATTGTATTGGTGGCAACTGGGAATGACAGCAGGTGAGCCAGCGGATTGTAGCGGAGGTCTGATTGGCTTGTATTGTTGGAGCTGCTTTCCTTGGAGTTATGGGAATAAGTTCTGTAAGGTTTTTGATGTGTTAAACAGGATGTTTGATTACAGAACTGATGTTCTTTTCATTCTTTGATGTGTTTCTGACTTGAAGTACACAAATCTGTTTTGTGCATGTTATATACAGTTAGACCTGCTGTTTAGTGGTTGTTGGGTAGAAGAGGTTTCCAGTACCTCATGCTTGTTGTAAGAACTGACTAATGACGATCAGATCTGGTTGTTTGGGTCATCATACTCCAAGATGTCTTCCCAGTGTTATTCTTAGTATGTACATCTAAAAAATAAATACCAAACATGTTATCATGCGCATGTTATTGTGGAGAATATTTTGTGTCATTTTGAACTTCTCCAAGCAACAGGAAATAGGGGTAAATCATGATATAATTTTTCCCAGGAATTTCCATGACCCTGTACTTCATCCCTCGTCCCTACCCCAGCATCCCCCAACACACACTCTAACACCCTAGTATGTAGCTAAACACACATACTTTTCAGAGGGGAGGTGGGGTAGCCTAGTGGTTAAAGCGTACGCTTGTCACTCCGAAGACCCGGGTTCGATTCCTCACATGGGTACAATGCGTGAAACCCATTTTTGGTATCCTCCCTCCGCTTTTGCTGGAATATTGCTAAGAGCGGCGTAAAATCAAACTCACTCACTCACTCTCTCACTCACTAACAGGTTCATTTTCTCATCCAACAAATGTGTTGATTCTTTGTATGATTTTTTGGTTCTATACAGTTCAGTCACACCAATGTTAACAAATAAATCATTACAATGAGATGTTTCACCAACTTTCCAGTCATTAAAGTTCATCACTTTTATGGATCCACATTTCTATCTTTTAGATAGTGCTGTGTTTTAAGTTCTTAGTGTAATGTGGGACTCTGAACCTTCTATGGTTTCTCCCTGTGTTCAGGTGCATGTGCCCCCAAGTGGAGGTGATGCATATAGAACTCTCAACACAGGGGTCTTAACTTCAATGATACGCAAACAATCTTGCCTCCGTGTACTATTTAACATCTCTAAGACAAATAAGTAAGATTTTCTGTTTACCTCTATCTGTTCTTGTTTCAGGATGCTGTTTTGTGACATTCTATACCAGAAAAGCTGCTCTGGCTGCCCAAAATGCCTTACACAATATCAAAACAATGCATGGGGTAAGTAAAACACTTAAAAAGTTTCTTGTTATTTTGAGAAGACCTTCTATTTTCAAGAAGACTTCTTTACTGATCTAAGACCTATCAGAACGCCAGAACTTTGGAGTGTTTTGGTAAGGCCTAAGAAAGTCCCACTTTTTCAGTGATACTTGCTGTTGTGACAACAAAGGGGGCACATGAAAATATACCAAATGCTTATATTTGTTCTGACAAACAAAAACATGCAAAAAACACTGCTTTGAAAAAAAATGAAATAAAATCCAACCTGGCCACCCTATTTTGAAACCATGTGTAATCAGAACAGTGTTTGCATTTTTGTTAAACCTCCTGTCTTCCAACTCATTATGAGAAACCCAATATTTCATCTTTCACACTTTCCACACTTCCAATTGCAAAGGTGCCTAATGAAGCATGTCTGCTATGAATGGATGTAGTTCTGGTAATTGAGTTGTACAAGTCTCAAGGGAAGATCAGTGATGCCATGATGCTCTCAGCTGGTTACTTAATAAGATGACAATGGCACATCGACATAATGACAGCTACAACTGGGATGAAAACCTTGATCAGGGATCATTTGATACCCTTAATTGCAGTCCGCCATTTGACACCTTGTGATTTTACTCATCATGGTACTTTGTCTTTCTGAATAAGTCAGAGATAGGCAGTGCTGCAGCCAGACTGCATAATTGCGTGATTCCGGCTAATTGTACTTTTCTTGGCACTTTATTTATAAATGCACATACATGCATCAACAATGGAGCATATTTACAATTCATAACAAGTTTTTATATATCGGGTGAGTAATTATTTTCAAATTATGACTATTTTCATTGAAAGCAATGTCAAATATTTGGAAATCAAAATATTTGAAACTTCGAGAATTCAAAACAAGGCTTCCTAAGCTCTGCACCTTGCTGGTATGTCTATTTACTTACGAAACTGTAATATGAATTGCTGTAAGGAGTTCGTTTTGCTGTATGGAGCTGATTTGATGCATGTAGTTTATCATAGTTTTGGTGTTTGGTGCACGTTTTCTAAAGTTTTGGAAATCCAAGGAAATCCAACTAAATCCTGGCTGCAGCTCTGGATGGGCATGTTACATTGGTTTGGTCGAAGCTTGAATGAAGGACTTGAGATAAAGAACTGTCTAGACATTGATGGAGCTTGAGGAACTTCAACTAGTTTATTTTGAAATATGTTTTATGTGTATACATACATAGAATTCTTGGCATTTTGTCAAAGGAAGACAGCACATCTGTTTTGGAAAATCTGTCTTAAGTATGGATCTGAACAATCTCTGGTATATAAGGTGTTGAGTGACAGCTCCATTGTATGTTGTATGGTAGATCAGCGGTTACACTTGTGAACTTTGCAACTTTTGCTTGATCCATTTTATGTTTATGGTTGGTGTACTACACCAATAAATCATTGATGGTAACAGCTGAGGGTTTATGTATTTTTGTAAAATTTGATTTCAAAGTAAATATTTTTGAGAGAAGGTATCGTGTTGGTTGCAATGTGTATGTAATGTATGGACTTTTTGGAAAGTTGTGAGATAAACAAGAAATATTCTTTGACGCTTCTGGAAGATTACTTATTGATACATATGATTGATTATTCGGGCAGCTGGGGCCAAGATGATGCAGGAAGAGAACTCTGAAACCGAAAAATACTTTTGGAGTAACAAGTACTAGTATTCTTGATTCCCATTGCAATTACTGTGGCCAGTGAGGTTAATCCTCAAATCAGACTGTTGGTCAGAGTGCCCATTAACTTTACTGACTTCCAAATGACTTGGTCTGTTAAATTGCAGCTATCTTAATGAAGGATCACGATAGCTTCAACAGATTATAGATTTTTCATGATCTCGCCTCAAACCTTGATACTCCATATTCAAGATAGTTGGAGTCTGTATAATTAATCATCTGAAAATGCCACAATGTTGTGAAATAAAAAGAAGAAAGGAAAGCCAGAATGATGCTGGCCGCATGAAGCATTATTTCCGTATGAAATATTCATCACGAAAGTTATCTAACTTTTAAGCAATACCAGTATAGCACAACATGAATTGTTTCCAATATTGCAAATGCCAATAAAAATACAATTATATTGTTAAATGGGAAATAGAATGGAAACCCCAGAATGCAGAAGCTGCATGAAAAATAATACAATATGAAATGTTCATCAGGAAAGTTGTCAAAACTTTAAAGCGATGCTGCATCAACTCAACACTCCAAGCCAATGTTCCACCATGTGTTGTACCACACAGCAGGGGGACCACACCAGGCGTCCTCGGAGACCACAACAAACAGATGCTTGTCTGCTGTATCTCCTCCACACCATCATGTCCTTCATATATCATGCTGCAGCAGGGATGATGATTGGATGGGGTTATTGATGGAGCTGCATGTTGGGGGATGATTGCAGAATTCAAACACTGGTCCCAGCAAGGTTGCTGCTGACATTTGGGTGACCTGTACAAGAGCCCAGGCTTGGAATATCAGTCTGATAGAAGGGTTTCATCATGCGAGACTGACCTCTTGACGAGGCATGGGTTCTGGCTTTCTGCATGATTGTAAATGTAATTGAAACTGGGGCAGTTTGTTGGTTTCACAGAAGTGATTGGAGTTTGTCGTCATAGTTACCAGAAAGTGAAACAAGTCAGTTCTGAATGGATTTGCGAGTAGAGAAGTGTCCCAGATAGTATGTTGTGAGGTAGAGTTTAAAGGATTTAACCTTCTAAGCTTGATGTAAGACAGCAAGTGGTAGGTGTATGTTTCCCTGTCTATTTCTTATTACATTCTCAAGTTTCAAATGCGGTTTGCTCTGGTGATATGGACTTTGGTTAATTTTTTAAATGAAATCATTTTTAAACTTTTTAATTTGATCTGTTATATTTTAGATCACTGGATGCAAGACATTGAAAAGATAACACTGTTTTTTTAACTGTGTCAAGTCATAGGTTTATGTTACATGAGTGGGTTGAATATGCAGTTGAACCTATAATTGACAGGTAAAATGCTCAAAGTAATGTATTGATGAAATAACTAGTTTTATTGAAAGAAAAATGGGAACAATATTTACAATAAACTTATAAGTAATGGTCATTTCAAATGTCTGGAGTATAGTTTATTGGCTCGTGGTAAAGCAAATAATCATTTGAACTGTTTTCGAATCAAGCTGGAACAATGAAGAAAATTGATGAAGACAGAATAAGGTAGCCCCCTTTTGGTTGACCTGTAACAGAATAGAAAAATACAAAAAACATTGTGTCAGACCATTGCTTTTCTTCAGTTTGATAAAAAAAAAAGATATATATATTCATCAAGAAGTCATGAAATCATATGGAAGCTGCAAATATCTTTTTTGACAGTTTGGAATTGATCTGTAGAGGCATCTTACCTGAATAATATATAAGAGTGAGATGAAGATAACTCCCATCAGTGTTGACATTTTAACATAATGGAAACCTGTTATAGATTCTTGTATTATTTAGAGAGTGCAACTTGCTGGTCATGAGATGTGATTTACACATTTGCTTTGGTTGGTTGTGATTCTATCTAAGGATGTAGGGAACCGCCTCCGTGGTGTAGTGGTTAGAGCGTCCGCCCGTGAGCCTGGAAGGTCGCGGGTTCGATCCCCGACCGCGTCATACCAAAAGACGTTAAAATATGGTACTTGTTGGTCCCTGCCTGGCTCTCAGCATTAATGGGTACAACAAGGACTGGTCGGAGTCAGTATAATGTGTCTGAGTGGGGTCTTCATGCTTCACTGCGGCATGGTATCTCAGTGGGCTAGCACTATAAAACCAGCTTAAGTCTGGGCTAGTACAAGCAGATACACATACACACGCATGCACGTCGTCATATGAGCGAAGTATTCTAAAGCACGATGATAAACCCAATTTCACCTCACCTCACCTAAGGATGTAGGTTCCCAGCAACCTGCTTGTTGTAAGAGGCGACTAAATGGATTGGGTGGTCAGATTTTGTGGCTGCATGGTTGATTGCATGTCTCTGTAAACGCAGTTGCTTATCTCACTAACGTCAATGTGGTCTGTCACTGGGTTTAAAGACAGCCATCACAAGGCGGAAATATTGTGTTCTACTTCATCATTAACAACAGACGATGTGGAACACTCATTCCACTCAGTAAGCAAAGAGAAATCAACTTGGTCGATATTCCAACCTCTTGCTTTAACCAGTTTAAGACACATAGCCAAACTATTACCAATAAAATAGTTATATGTTTTCATGGCCAAGGATGCACATATAACTAGCAGTTCCAATTTCATCTCTGAAAAGTATTTATTTGAATGGTTCTGTTGAACTTCAATTAATAGTGCTCCTCTTGCTTGCTCCGACACTAACATTACATTCCTAAATCACTGGAGTTGACCTTGACATATTTCTGTGAGGATACCATGACCTGCAAATAGTGGAAGGTTAGCTAGCACTGATCCTAGTGTCAGTATTAAGCTGGGTCATGCTTTCAATCAGCAATGCTTGTGTAGGTCTGTGAGTCAGTCAGTGATGTTTGTTACAATCAGTTTTCTATGCCCCTAGAGTATTGCTGTAAACAGTTAGGCTTGTCCTGGTATAAGTGCTGTGGGATGGGCAAGCTTTTATATAAGGAAATAGTAATGGCATTTGGTGTATTTTCACATGATCTATAGATGTAGTGTTTTCATTTTCCTTGTTAAGCTGCAGGTGTCAACTTCCTTGATTTATGGAGGATGATTATGTGTGAATGTTATAATCTGGTGGAATTCATTGTGACCAGGAGAAATATCGTTTATATTTTTTCAATCATCTTTTGTCATGTGGGTGAATGGTTGGGGTTCTTTGACAATAAGTGAATTCATGAACTGATGGCTAAGTCTAAACATTTGACATATCTTCATATGTTGCGAGGACAGGATATTTCATTTGCAAATCTGCCTTGTACTTAGTGTAGCCAGGGGATGGGATGCTTGGTTGGTCAAACATCCATGTTATGAGGTTACATGTAACTGCCACACTGTTCCGTCCATGTGGTGACACACTATGTGTTAACATAGCTGCCTAATGTCTTCTTTCATACTGGGGGTGGTGGGGTTGGCTGGTGGTTAATGTGTTGGTTCGTCACACTGAAGACCGGGTTTGATTCCCCACATGGGCACAATGTGTGAAGTCAATTTCTGGTGTTCCCGGACGTGATATTGCTGCAATATTGCCAAAAGCGGCATAAAACTAAACTCACTCACTCACTCATTCACTTTTCATACTGGTTCAAAACAATGATAGTCTATCGTAATTGTGATTAGAATTTTGTCACATCAAGCGTTATATCTTCACGTATGAAAGTCTACTGGACCACCAATAATGATTTTTAGGGTCCTTGTAGTAATGGTGGTCCGATTAATTGAAATAATCAAAGATTGGTTGCAGTGACTAAACAACCAAACAATCGATCATGTTTTCTCATAATCGAACACAAACAATTCTGGAACACTTGTTTTCATTAACAGTATTTTTCACAAGGTGGTTTTGTGTGTAACATTTCATAAGCACTACAAGCTTGTTCAAAGTCATGGCGGTGGGGTAGCCTAGTGGTTAAAGCGTTTCCGCCAAGACCGAGTTCTTCCCCACATGGGCACAATGTGTTAAGCCATTTCTGGTGTCCCCCGCCGTGATATTGCTGGAATATTGCTAAAAGCGGCGTAAAACTAAACTCAGTCAGTCAGTTGTTCCAAGTCATGGTTAAATTTATCTTCAAGACTCCAGGAAATTTATGTTCTTAGTCATCATTTAACGATGTGAAATTTTGCCAAAACTGCATGGTGTTTTCCTTATTTTTTGTGCATTAACAAATTTCATAATGACGCTAACCAATTATTTTCGATGATTGATCGGTTGTAATGAACCAATCATCAATTATGAGATTTTAACCATCTCCCAACACTACCTTGTAGGCCATCTGAGGTTCCTGGAAAGTATTGAAATGGTGTAGTGTCGTGTAGGTTTAGATAATTACTTAGATGCTGGAATGAATCTGATTGTGTGGACAGTGGTAATGATTGATGGGTGAAATGACAGATATCTGATCTTGATGTGCTGAGGTAAACTGACAGTATTATTGTTTAGCTCCTGTATTTCTCTTTCTGCTTCCATTCTCTACATTTGTACATACAATTTGTGAGTTGCCTTAAACCTAGCCTTGCTCCAAGGCTGAACTGAATGCTGAGCCCATGGATAGTAATTCTATCCTTTTAAGAGGCAAGTCTTGATAAGTGGACTGTACTAAGGATGCCAGTCTGTTGTTTATATATATTTGTTTAAAGATTATTTAAACTATTAATTATTACCATAGAGACTTGTGCAAGTCTACATTTAACCCTACATATCCTCCAACTCTTGGTGGTCTGTGTGTGTGTGTGTGTGTTGTGAGTGTGAGTACTGTAGGGTGTGTGGGGATGGTGTTGAGTGTGAGTACTGTAAGTGTTGGGGTGCATGTGCCCAAGACTCCATGTGAGCGAGGAATGATGCTTTAACCACCAGTTGCCTGACCCAAACTCAATTATTTATGGCTGCTGTGATCATGATGACACAGGTATAATTTATAATCCTGGTGGCAGTGTAATACAATACTCCTTCACAACATAGTGCTGCATGCTGGTCAAATTCCAATTACTCACTCCCTAGATCAGTTCATTTTGAACCGCAAGCGTGATATGAAAGATTTTAAAGCCATGTTTTTGTTTTCAGATGCATCATCCTATACAGATGAAACCAGCCGACAGTGAGAAAAGAAATGGTGGGTTGAAGGGACTTGCACTTTTGGCCAGAACAGTTTTGATTTACAAGGGCTATGACCCATCATTTTTCTTTCCTTCGGCCTCACTGTCTTCCTAACGACTACTGTCAAATCTGATGTATGTTAAGGAAACTAATATGAGATAAATTTAAATACATGACAAATTTTTGTAAAAAACTTGAAACAGAATGTAAAGAACTTAAATCATTTATTGATTAAAATCAGTATGAAGGCTTTAATGATATTTTTTTTATGTGTATCACTTCTTATGCATGTTTCTATGTAATGTGTGTCTTGTTTTGTTTGGAAAGAATTCCAGCCTCTTATTCCATTTCAGTAGAAGAAAGAAAACTTTTTGTGGGGATGGTGTCTAAAAAATTAAGTGAAAATGATATACGGATGATGTTTGCTCCATTTGGCACGATAGAGGATTGTACAGTGTTACGGGATGCAAACGGTGCTAGTCGAGGTGAGTAAGGGGTAGAAAAAACACATACCACTTCAAAGAAACTAATTGGAATAGGTTTCTGTAAAAAAGAAAACACTCTTGGAAATGGAAAATGCTTCAGAAAATTATGAGATGAAAGAAACCAGAGTTAAGTTCTTGCACACTGGGCATAACTTTACTTGAAATTCTAGTGAAAATTCAACCTCAGAATAATTTTGTTTTGGAATTAGTTCAACTTTACTGACATACAGACCCTGAAACCAGAGTGTCCAGTACAGTTCATGTCTAGAATATTTGGCAAGTGTAGATTTACAAATGAAAATGAAGAAAGTCTCTTTATGGCAAAGATTTTAAGAACTTTTTCTGAAACATGTTAATTTCAGAGACAAGCTTTTGATCCTGAATAAGAATTCCACTTGTTTGATGAGAGGCATTTAGTTAAACTTTACTGACATATATGGACCCTGATATAACCTGAATTTGTCCAGTATTCAGCCCATTTCAGGTGATATGAAGTAGCCCAGAAACGCCATGTTATACAATGAAGAAGAAGTTGTCATCCATATACTCGTCTTAGAGATTCCACTTGTTATTATTGGCAAATGAATTGAAAGAAGAGATTGCGTTAGTTATAAAAAAACAAACAATTTTTGTGAAAACAAAACATATATCCTACAGACTTGCATACATTACTGTGTTTATGGTTATACACAGCGAAGGGTGATCTGTTCATTCAGTATGTAGATGAGGATCGTGATGTCTTGTATGTCAGTAGGACATGTAGATAGCCTCTGTGTTGTGAAGGTGTTCACAGTATCATCTCTTTGTTTCAGGTTGTGCATTTGTTACATATGCCAATCGCCACAGTGCACAGAATGCTATCAAGAGCATGCATCACTCACAGACTATGGAGGTATGTACATTTTCGGTAACCCGTGAAGGTCCGGGTTAGAATTGGTCTTCAGCAACCCATGCTTGTCGTAAAAGGTGACTAACAGGATTGGGTGGTCAGGTTTGCTGACTAGTTGATACATGTCATCATATCCCAATTGCATACATCGATGCTCATGCTGTTGATCACTGGATTATCTGGTCCAGACTTGATTATTTACAGATCGCAGCCATATAGCTGGAATGTTGCTGGGTGCAACGTAAAACTTTCTCATAAGTTTTCAGTTTCTGTGTATTATTGATGCCAACCTCATCTGTCTGAAATTAGTTTCATCATGTTTCCACCCCCATTGGACAAGTGTCAACCTTATTTCACTTGACGTCAGTCCAGCTTTTATGCGGAACCAGAAGTTTTACAATGGTTACTTTAACTGTCAGTTGGAGCATTGAAATCAGGTTCAGAAGTTACAGCCTTGTAAGGATAAAAGTTTGTGAGGACAACTTTTGCTGAATTTTTCCTTGTCCCTGGCACAATTTAACCCTTTCAACACCGCAGGCCGAATAATCGGCCACAACGTTATGAGTCCCCAGACACCGGAGGCCGATTAATCGGCCAGGCAGTAGTCACGTCAAAATGAGACATAATTTTAGGAACCTACCTGACTTTTGATTCATATATCAAATCTATCACATTTCACAATGTCTGAAAACACTTATTAAATTTCAATTTATCATATATTATCAGCAAAATTAAAATTATAAACTATTTTTCGCAATATTATTGAAAACAACGATTCTCGGACACATGCTTCGGCAGCTGGTCCACAATAACATTGTCAAAAGCAAAGTAACGATGTTTCGAGAGAAATTATTAAATAAATTGAATAAACTAATGAATAAAATCAACAACAGCATTCATAAAAGTTGTCAAACGTACATATAAAATTACTATTTCCATCTTTTGTGCGCATCATGTAATGCAAGTCAAGTTACTGACAAGTGACATCTCGGCTCTCCACCAATCTTCACTGCCGGACACGATGTTTAATGCGAAAATACATACATGAAGCATTTTTGTCACAGGTCATAACCTAGCACGATATACCCAATAAGTTCCATAATTTACGATTGGTCACGATTTCTTCGCTTAATATGTTCAGAATAGCATTATTTTACCCAAAACTTTTGTCCAAATCTAAAAGATTTCGCTAATGAGGAGGGTATCCATTGCCGAATATGATTGGCTGCCTTAGGTCACGGTCTGATTTTGACCAATCACAACCCTTATAGCAGACTGTGGCGAAAAAGCCGCCATTAGAAACCAATCTTTATCCAATAAAATCGCCTACAACTGTGAAAATACTCTTGGCAAGGGTACAGTGATATTGTTGATGTTCAGAGTTTTCGAACGATGCCCTACATCAAACGATTTGTCACAAGATGTTATTCATATACGGCTTCAAAACGGAGGTATTTTCAGTTGTTATGTCATTTTACCGAGCAGAAAGCCGCGAGATATCGGGAAATAGGCTACCATACATATTGTTTAAGAAATCTTTTTATAATAATTTTCTGATTACGTGAAAATGAAAATATAAAAGAAAAAAGGCACGGGCAATTTATGACATGTCACAAATGGAAAAATCGCCATAGTTTTGCTCCTTTCGTGGTTTATCTGGACGCTACAAATGTAAGCTTGCATTTTCATTCAAATATAAATTTATTTAAGTTGTAGTTGTATTATTTGAATAATATTATAAAAATAAACTTCATATTTATCAACAGTAGGATTAGATCTTTTAAATGGTGTATGGGATGTAGTAGCAATAACGTTTTACAAGCTTATAATTTCCTTCACAAACATAGGCTTCATCTATGACCTCAGAGTCTCTGGGAACTCGGTGTCATGGCAGTAAATTCCCCTGGTTGACTGGTGTTGAAAGAGTTAATCACCTATGGCTATGTCAGAACTGACATTAATAGTTTTTAGTGGGCAGCATATAATTTCTTATGATAATGAGGCAGTGGGGTAGCCTAGTGGTTAAAGCATTCGCTTGTCACACCAAAGATCCAGGTTCGATTCCCCACATGGGTACAATGTTTGAAGCACTAGTGTCCCCACACAGCGATATTGCTGGAATATTGCTTAAAGCGGCGTAAAACCAAACCCACTCACTCACCCTTATGAGAATGGTTAGCATGACGGTGATTAACACAATAATAATATGTCTCTTATATAGCCCTTAACACACACATGCCACATCTGACACTGGTTCCGAATGAACGTGCAGTCATTTCGCCTGCAACACTGAAATGTTTAGCACATCCGTCAAGAAAACATTAAAACTTTTTTCTCTTTTTTTTAAACTTCTGACCCATCTCTGCCAAGCACTTCAAAAGACAGATTGTATTCAAACATTTTAGTACTGGTACCGACTTACTTCACCTAAACATACTTAACTGAACTAGTTTCAAGTGTGGTTGCTGCTTTGCAGTTCCACAGTCTGTTTACAAATCGCTTGAAGTGTGTATTGGGAGGTCCCCTGTGTTTTCTTACAATCGTGACAGTCATGCTGATCTGTATCTCGGGCACCAGACAGAGCCAGTGTCAGCTTCTTGCAGAGATATGCCATACAGTTATGGAAAACTGGTTAGGTTAAATGTGAACGATTTTTAAAATAATGTTTTTAAAAATTCACCCTCAATTACTGCCTCACGAATCCAACTCATTGCAACAATGAAAGTGTCCTAGCTTTCATCTGCAAGATGGCTTTATGGCACAGGGTGTGTAAAAATGGGTTATTTCCATTTTTTCTCAGCTTAAAATAGAACCTACAATCTCAACTATTTGGAGTCGTAAATAATGTTTCATGCAGCTATGAAAGGGGAAGTCACGGCCAACTGTGAAGAGAGTCACGATTATCTCATAAAACTCCGAGTTAACAGATCAGGGCAAAAGCTCCAGTAGATTGAATTTCAGGAACTTCTGGAGCAATCGTATGCTTATAATGGAAACTCCAGCAGGAACATTTGGTGTCTGTGAATGATGCTCTGCTATGGTTCTGTCATGGTCATTAACACAAGGTACACTCACAATGACATCCTCATGCCATTGTTTATATGTAGCTGTTGTGGTTTCCCAGTAAGCAGGCTCTGATCCAAATAGTATGAAGCAGGAACTCTGGTATCTTTTATCAACAGAAACATAGGCCTGAAATAATGGTTGTAGCTGGTGCCAGTGAGGAGACACTGCATTTTATTGGCACAGTGGAATTAGGTTTGTGCTATAGGCTCCTGATGGTGTTTGTTTTCCTAAAAGGAATTCCTTGTTAAGGCAACAGAGCATATCTAGCAACCCAAGTCTGTATGGTTGTATCATTTCAGAATTGTCAGATTTTTAATACTTATGGATAATACTTACGGGTAAAGCCCTTTGGAGATTCTGGTTGAGAAATGGTTCCAAACAACCAGTGCAGTTGTATTGTATCACGTGTTCAGACACTTTCATCATTGAATTACATGTCGGGGTCCTCCAGTGACCTTATGGGGACCTAGCGAGAATATGTCCCCATTCACACTTATATTCCCATGTCATGGTATTATGCTCATTATATCAATCACTGGTTTGTCTGGCCCTCATGCAATTTGTTCAGGCATGCTATCATATAGCTGTCATATTGTTCCTAAATGAAGGGTCTTTGGCTTTTTCAATGCTGTGATGTAGCCTCAAGCATCACTGATATAATTGCATGGTTAACTAAGGTCAGTGGAAACTAGTATAAACTTGTAATTTTAAATAGATTGTCATGTGTACATGCTGAATGTTGATGAGTTTAACTAAAGCTTTTGAACATTGTTGAATCCAACAGCTGTTTTGAAAAACTTCTAATAGTAGTTTTAATTTTTTTAAAATTAATTTTGTTTCACATTTTGCCTAAAGAACACCACAAATGGTTATTACACTTTGCATTCATTTATTGATGTTTAAATTTCTTCAGCATTGTAGCTGTAAGTATTTCAACTAAAAACGTGGATTCTGAATAGGTTACACCAAGCCGTTTTCTTACCCCTATGAATTGTGTCAACCCATATCAACACTTAGGAACTTTGAAAATGCATTGAGAAGTGTTTCCTTTTTGGTGTCCTTGAAAAAGAACAATAAATAAGTTTGTGATGTTTTTATGATGCTGTGTATTTCTTTGGCCTGTCTGAGGTGTCCTGCATACCTCTCAGTAGGATCTTTACTACATTCTCAGAAAAGAAAATTGGGCATTTTGAATCTTATTGATTGAAGGTAAATAGCACTGTGAAGAGTAAATAACAGTTCGTTTCGGTATGGGAATAGCATTGTTTGATGTTACTTGAGATTAATGTTAGGTATGTATACATTATGGTTTGTAAATGAACAGTTACAGAAATATTCTTGTCATCAGAAAAACAGACTTCTCATACTGATGCTGGTTGTTGCTACCAGTCTTTGCTGTGAATAGTTAATACGTGTTTGTGTCAGTTATATGTATTGCCTGCCATAAGAAATGCATTACACAGTGAGGGTACCATCTATTTGAAATCATATACTAAGTTGTAAGGACAGTTTATCACTGCTGAGTAACTACGATAGCTCTGTAAATACAGTTTCTTGGGTGCATGTAACTTATTAAGGACAGTTACGCAAGCAGTAAGAGGAAATTAGTTCACTGGAACATGCTTCTACCAGATTCCTGAATGAAAATTAGCCAACGTGGAAAACTTCAGACTAGAATTGCCTAATTGATTTGGCATGAAGAATGAATAGTTGTACAGAAGCGCCACAGGAGTTGAACAGTTATGTTGCCTTTACCTCGCAATTACCTAGATACATGCTATATTTCATTGATGAGAATGTGGAATGTCTGTTCTCGTTTGTTTGAGAAATTAGGTAATCTCAGTGATAGTGTTTGATTCATTGTTTGTTGAAGCCCATTACGGTTGTCCCCTGCTGTGATATTGCTGGAATATTGCTAAGGTGTAAGCTAAATTCACTCACTCAGTCATTGTGTTTGTCTATTACAGGGTTGTTCCTCACCGATCGTTGTTAAGTTTGCTGATACACAGAAAGAAAAAGAAGCCAAGAAAATGCAGCAGATGACGACAAATTTGTGGAACCTGTCACTTGGGGGGATTGGGGGCACTGGGGCCTCAGTATTTAGCAGTAAGTCAGGCTTGCAGTGATGGCCCGTACATTCTGAAATCTGTAAAAGACACAGAATTACTTACACTTTGACAAATATTGTTTTGTGTGATGTTGAAATCATATTGAGTAGGAACTTGAGTTAGAATATGGATTTATTTATGTATTTAATCCATGTTACTTTTGATGGAAATAATGAACAATTTGACACTTTACTGTTTTGCATGTGCACACTTGAGAAAAGAATTTTTGAAAGGTTTGACTTCGTTTTCAGTTACTACAACAAGCAGCTGCAGCAGGGAACTTGGGAATGTTGAATAACCTTGGAAACATGGGTATGTGGTCACCCAGTCTTGATCCTGTAGGGCCTTTATACCTTACAGTGGTAACCCAATCTTGATCCCACAGTGGTATGTGGTAACCCTGTCATGAGTCGGTAGTGACATACATAGATATGTGGTAACCAATGCTGTAATGATGCCATAACACAGCATTGTATCACAAAATGGGGCTCATTGCTTGATACATCGATTTTTAACTCCTGTATAGCAATACATACTGTATGTCAAGCGTCAAGCCCTAGGTGTCCCCCGATATGATATTGCTGGAACATTGCTAAAGCGGTGTAAAACCATACTCACTCACTTGCTCACTCCAGGATAATATAGGATATATATTGTTGAGTACAATCAGGGCTTGATTTAAGAGATGTTAACCTACTTGCACCAGGTGCAACCTAAGATAAAAGCCTAGTTGCACCAGCCAAATTCCAGTTGCAACATAGTGTGTTAAAACATCAGAGGTTTCGGTGTATATAGACATATTTCTGTCATGTAGTATCATTGAAACCATAGCAACACAGAGACGCAGCTGATCCCTGTTTACAATCTTGAGCTGTCATAGCCGAGACGTGTCTATGAATAGCAATGTTTCGTTGCCATAGCTATTCAAAGTTTAGAACAAAATGGATATTTATGCTTATATTGTTAGATTTATTGATTTATTTCTCAAAAAATGACTTGCACCTGGTGCAAGTTAGACTAATAACTAGGTTGCACTTTGCAATATTGGGTTGCACCAGTGCAAGTAACAAAGCACTAAATCGAGCCCTGACAATGCATATCAATACAATTTAATACCAGCAGATACTTTGCTGGTATTACACGTCTACTTTGATTGTAATAGATTTGATCGTAATTGTTTCCTATTAGAGAGTACCATGCCTCCAGGTACAGCCTTATGTGATGTGTCAATAAATCAGTTGCATCTGTTGTTTTTTCCAGAGCACTGTAACTCCGGCATCAACAACCTGGGTGTTCAACAGCTCGTGGCCGCCGCAGCAGCAGCCGCAGCGGGCAACAACCCTGGTAGGTTGCATCCTCGTCATGCCTGTCTTCCACACTGGAATGGATGTTTCTTAACCTTGTTTCAGCACCTTGCATACTGTACAATTTGAGTTGAAAAGCACCCAGTTCCTCTTGTTTCAGTTGTACTCTAATCAGGTGTGAGAAGACGCAGGAACAATGTCATGTGACGGCTTGTGGCATGGAAAAACTCATGACATTCTTACTAATAAATATTATGCTGTAATGGTAGTGGAATACCAAATAGAATGCCATCCTGTCAGTTTTAATGTGAATACAAATCCTAAGCGTCATCATAGATTAAAGAGAATTCTGCATGTTTGACCAGTGTATCCCTTGTACGTTTCTTCAGAAGCGTCCTGAGTGATCCTCCTTGTCAGAATACTGTGGTCTTTCTACTTTCTTTACCCTAGAGTGATTGGTGTGTCATGAATTTCATTTTGTTACATATTATTTATTACTCCATGGTAGAACTATTTTGTCCATGCCTGCAGATTTAAAGTGGTGTTGGTAAAATTGTGTGACCCTTTCCCAAGGTTTTTTGGTCTGGTGTGAGTGACTTTTTTTTTTTTTCCCAGTTGATTAAAATAATCTTCAAATGTTTCATTTTGGTCTACAAAGTCTTTAGCTTTTGATGGATAAGATTGGTTATGTAAAGAAGCAAGTTATAAAGAAAATCTGCATTGTTATAAGTAAATGAACACATTTAATGTTAGTTTGCAGTGAGTTTAGTGTCAAGGTTATTCTAAGTCAGGACCTTTGCTCATTGAAATCAATGTTTCTGAGACCCGAGCTTCTTCCAGCACCACGGTCGTATCTTATGTGAATGCATATCAATGTGTAGTGCAAGAGTTCTATTTTGTTTTGCTTTGAGATGAGACTTTTTCCAGCTAATTTTGGTTTTTTTACTGACTCTTGTTTTGTGTGGGTGTGCCACAGGATTGCTGGCAGCACTGGCAAGCCTGAGTACAGGCAGTGGCTCCATGTCAAGTAACAACAACTGTAGCCCCATGCAGACTAGCACAACCTCAAATTCAAACAACAGTTCCTCAGGTATACCTGGTCGGTGGTCCGTCGTCGGCCTGAAGCCCCAGCCCGCAGCCTACCACAGTGGTTGTGTTGTGCATGCTGCAGCTGAAACTCTTGCTCTTCTATTTCAATTATCTGTTTATATTGTACTCCAACACTGTCCTTGTCAGAGCAGGGGAGATCTGTCCCAATAGGGCTATTGGCACTTAAACAGCATTGTGGCTCCCTATGCTGTATGGTCTGAATTCCTTGAATTAATGTGTACATAATGTTTACAGTATATAATATAGTGGGGTTAAAAAATGTTAGTAGCATGAATGGTTTTTTGATATTTTATTTCTGTCTTAAAGACTACTCCCAATTTCAGAAAAAAATATATCCTAAATACTCATGGTCCCTAACTTTTTTGCGTTCAGTATATTTGTACTATGTGATATATTCTCTGAAATTCTGTAAACATTGTGTATGTTCCATTTACACTGAGAATGCAGTATGTTCTGGGCATGTATGCTATCATATGAAGATGTAGACTTGGCTTTATGAGTAATGTACCTAATGGAACAATCTAAGTCATGAAAAATAATCTGTTCTGTAAGACCACTTTTTCACAAACCGACTCGTTTTAATATACTTAACTTCGTTTGAGATAGAAACTGGAATGAGGCAAGATTTCCCGGTTTGTGAATTATTTCCTAGGGTGTACCAGCAGTTGTCTCCCTTTGCCCTGACATGGACTGTGTTGATTGCACGTAGCATTCCTTCTCGTGGATTAGTTCACTGCAGTTTGCTGTGGATCACAATCTCTTGTAGCCTCACATCTTCTGTTGAGCTTACTTCACGCCGGACAACACTTCCCGGTTTGCTGAGTTTACCAGCCCAGTGTTGACGGGCTTTCTTCAGTGTGTATTTGCACTTAGTTACTATACAGTTTGTTGTTGAGATTGTTTGCCAGCTTGTCTTTGTTTGTGATATATGCATGAAGACATAACAATTCCAGTTCCTACAAATGACAATAATATTCCATTGCAGCTGTGTGTAACATTTGCTGTACCTTGCATGAGAAATGTCATCTGAACAGTGCCGACTGCCTTTGTATTAATATGATCACTTTGATTGTGCATGAATCTACCAGTAAGGAAGTAACTTGCGGTTTTGTGACAATAGTACCTCTCTCTGTCCAATATACCATGTTAGCTGATGTGCTGATTTCAACTGACATTGGCAATATGTCCAGCTGATATCGGCAGTCAGCTGATGAAGGCTTTCCACTTCTCTTCTCATTGTAGACATCACCTGACAGTGTTTAATCCTTGAGTTCTACTACAGTTCTCATCCTTCTGTATAGTTGATGGTGACAGTATACTAGAAGTGCCCTCTCTAAAATGTGGATCCATAACAATCTCTTAATTCACAGCTTGAGCTTAAAGGGAGGTAACTCCATCTGGCTTACAGCACAGTGTAATACAGATAACCCTTAAAAAATTCAGTGATTTTATTGAGGAAAGATATCAAGTTCTTGATTACAAAGTTTTTGTTGATTCTTTGACAACAATCTGTCATGGTTGTAATGGCTTCAGTTTGGCAGTGGTGTGGCATTTTGTATGTTTCAGTGACTTGAAGCTGAATAGTTCAAAGGAAACTATTTGGATAATATGGAATTAAATCTTCAGCACTTACGTAATAGTTTTTCATTTAACGGTGTAAAGAAAATTAAAAAAGAGGTTGGTCTTATTGAAGTAGAGTTGATTCATGAAACCACAACAAGATGCATTGGAGTAGAATCAATTTCAATTTCATCCCAACCAACTATTCAAGATGTTTTAATTGTGATATTGATTCTGTTTCAGCAGAAGCCCAAAATAATGTCCATTTACAGAACTTGCATGGTATCGCTGCCCTTGCGAGCTTAGCAAACAACCCAGGTATGTTGTCAAACTGGCGTAATGTCCCTTGCATGTATTATATTATGTATTATAAACGTCAGTATTAAATCAAAATTAAAACCTTAGTCACCTGACCAACATTAAACATTAAGTAATAATAATAACAATAATGACGACAATCCTAAATTGAGATTGATTGAGATGAACTGCATGTCTCTTTGAAAGGTAACCTCACCAGTTACTAAAAGTTGGTTTTGTGTGTTCTCATTTCAGCCACATTAAACACTCTGGGTGTTCAGAACGTAGCAACATTAAACCAATTGGCTGCAGCAAGCAACAGCACACCTATGTCCACAGGGAACAGCATTTACAATGGTAGGTATGAGTATGGAAGGCATTTGGGTTGGTTCTTGCAGATGTTGACAGAGAAATATTACTACCCAGCTGATCAAAGCATCCATCTCCTTGTTAGGCCATCCATATATCTGTTTACTTATCTTATCGCCAAGGGGCGGTGGGTTAGCCTAGTCATGTAGAAGACCTGGGTTCGATTCCCCACATGGGTACAATGTGTGAAGCCCATTACTTGTGTTCCCTGCCGTGATATTGCTGGAATATTGCTAAAAGCGGCGTAAAACTAAATTCCTTCACTCACATCTCTGAACTGAGCTGTGTCCCCTGTGGGATAGCCTAGTGGTTAAAAGCGCTAAAACTAAATTCGTCATGCCAAAGAGACCGGTTCAAATCCCACATGGGTACAATGGGTACAATGTGAAGCCCGTTTCTGGTGTCCCCCGCCATGATGTTGCTGGAATATTGCTAAAAGCGGCGTAAAACCAAACTCAGTCAGTCAGTCAGTCTGAACTGAGCAAGAGAATGGGTAGGTGAATATGTTAACCATAATTCAAGGATATTCCCAGCAAGCACGGGGTGAAATTGTCAATGGTCATTTCTCATTCATTTCTGAGCTCACATAAAACAAGCGATCATCACCCGCTACGGCACTTTCTTTGCCTCAGTCCACGATAATGGATGAAAGGTTATTGTTTTAAGGGCAGAAACTGAGACTGATAGAAGGTTTTATGATATTCCTGTTGAGGGTAAAGTCGACCTCAAGTGTTGAGATAATTTTTCTGAATTAACTCAAAATGTTATCAGTTAATGGAAGCAGATCTTGGATAATTGAGTGTGTGAGGTGTATAGGTTATATGTTTTTGCAAATAACAATTTGTAGGAATTTTTCCATGAATGTGTATGCAGTATGACAGCTTCTTAGTTTGACATTCGTAAGAAGATCTAGAGGCGCAGAATCTCATAAATTAGATTGCTACTTCTGTGCTGTAATAATTCTATATTTTGTAAGTGTGAGAAGTGTTCAGCAGCATCCAGTATTGTACTACCTTTAACCATGATTTTGACATCATCAAGGTCATGCAGATATTTACATTTTCGGATGAATGGAAATCATAAATGTTGGAAGTTGTACATATTCTCTCGCTGACTTGGTTGACTCATGTCATCGGTTCCCAGTTGCACAGATCGATGCTCATGCTGTTGATCACTGGATTGTCTGGTCCAAACTCGATTATTTACAGACCGCCGCCATATAGCTGGAATACTGCTGAGTGCAGTGTAAAACTCAACTCACTCACTCACTCACTTCTGAACCTACATTTGTTTTCTATCCCAGCATTACAAGGAAAAGGTTTACCTCTTGGTAAGGGAGTATGTAGATATTGTGTGTACACGCACCAAGGAGAATGTACTCTAGATGTTGATGTGTGATAGGGAAATCTGTATATTATTATGAAGGGAAGCACATACGTGTATGCACACAAGCTGCACGTGGTAACTTGTTGTCACATGTCTGATGTTGTCAAAGAGAAATCACTGCTCATTACATTATCAAGGACGACAATGATACATATATATATGTCAGTTTATCTGTTGACTCGTGCAGATCCGGATTAGAATTGGTCTTCAAACACCCATGCTTTTCGTAAGAGACAAGTTATCGGATCGGGTTGTAAGCCTCGTTGACTTAGTTGATACATATCATCGTATCCCAGTTGCGTAGATTAATGCTCATGCTGCTGATCACTGGATTGTCTGGTCCAGACTCTATATGGCTGGAATATTGCACATTGAGGCTTAAAACAACAAACCAACCAACAGTATATCTGTAGGTTCAGTAATGACAGTCAGTCTAATGCTAGTATTGATAATTGCAAAAGAGAATGTCATTGTCCTTACAAATGACCTGTATTAAACAAATGACCATATCAAAAACATGTATGACCATGTATGGCGTTATTAGGAGACTTGGAAGATATTGGTTTCGAGAAAGGTCTTTCTATGTTGCAGCAAGCGTAGATACAGTTGTCTGTATAGAGACACTGATTTTGATATCCACCCAGTGCTAACATATCCATCCAGTAATAGAGAATTATAGTGTCAATATGTGTTTGTTACCTTCATGTTGTTAGAATCTGTGTTGTAGCTGCACTAAATATGTGATAAATGATGAGGACCTCTCCTCTCCTAACAGTTGATGCAAGTTAATGATATAGACAAGCAGAGTAACAATTTGAAAGGCATAGTGATGAAATTACTTACTTAACATATCCAGATGACTACAAAATTTTATAACCAAAACCCATTGCTATTGACAGGATTATCAGACAAAAATACTATTGATAGTCTCAACAAAATGATCTGCAAGCGGTGGGGTAGCCTAGTGGTTAAAGCGTTCACTTGTCATACTAAAGACCCGGGTCCGATTCCCCAAATAGGTACAATGTGTGAAGCCCTAGACTGGTGATCCCTGCCGTGAAACTGCAGGAATATTGCTAAAAGTGGTGTAAAACTAAACTCACTTGCTTAATGACCTCCAGTGACAATTAAAGTTCCTGAAACAAGAATATTTGGAGATTTCATTCAAATGAACATGCTACTTAAATACTCTGGCCCCCAGTATTTAGTCGACTACGAACATTTGTTTTTGTCCCAGCGAGACTGGATATTTGGTTTCATTGGTCTTGTAACAAAATGTCTTTCTTCACAGGCAGCATGTCTGGCACAACAACAACCAGCACTGCCTTGGGTGGCATCGGTATTCCCAGCCTGTCGGCCAGCAATATGTCTGGTATCTCTGCCCTCACACAGGGCGGCATGAACGGCGGCATGAACGGCCTAGGTTCCACCTCCAACCCCCAGGGCATTGATGCCCTGAGCCAAGCCTACACTGGTATCCAGCAATACGCAGGTTTGTCAGGTTTACTCACTCCAGGTAAAGGTTCGTTTCTTCATTTTCTACTTTCATTTTGCAGGTGTGTGCCCGTCAGTGTCCGTACATCCGCGTGTCCACTTGTTCGTAGTTTTTGTCTCTCACCCAGCCGACCTGTCAACTCTCCGATAGTGAAGAAACAACCTGAACCTTTTTTGTTATTATACTGAAGACGAATACATTGATTTCAATATATATCTCTTTCCTGCACCTAACCAAATTAATTCTTTGATATAATGGATTTGGATTTTGCACCAGTGTCTGCAAGATAAGATTGCTGAGCTATATTTTAGTGATCACTAATTCTGCACTGAATCTTTACCACTGGTTATAAGCTGAATTAGAAGCATGGTTCCAGTGTGGAGCTCACACAAATGCTAATGGCTTGATAATGCACTTAAAGTCTTGGAAAATTAGCTTCAAATCCTTCACACTTGGGAATCTAAAGCTGAAGCATCGTAGTTAAGATCACTGCTGTATATGCATGGGTTTGGGCAGCGGAGGATCTGTGGCAGTGCTAGGTGGTATTGAAGGTGTAGCAGGATAGGTGGCAGGTCTTTTGCTATGCTGTTTGATCTAACAAGTCACACACTAACTGCTGCAGGCTTCTGCTTACCTCATGGCAGAAGGTGGAACCTGGGACTATCTCTTCACAGTTGGTCTTGATATGCCAGCCACAGGTCACAAGAAGCAATTCTGTGATGGGGATGCCATATTCTGATGTTGACAGGCATTGAGTATTTTCATAAGTGATATTTTCTGTTAATAGTTCAGGTGATAAGTGGGATGGGGGTAACCAAGTAGTTAAAGCGATTACTCGTCACACTGAAGACCCGGGTTCGAGTCCCCACATGGGTACAATGTGTGAAGCCCATTTCTGGAGTACCCTGCCGTGATATTGCTGAAATATTGCTAAAAGTGGCATAAACTAAACTCACTCACTCAGGTGATAAAACATAATCATGGGTTCACTCATTTATTTCTGTCATTATTGGTTGAAATTTTTTGTTAAATGTTTGACAACTGGCATTCGTCCTGGTGAAGAGTTGGCTCAGATTCTGAAAGAGGTAACATGGCTGACTTTGCCGTCTGCTCTTGAAAGTAGCAGCCTGCATTTTACCCTTGGAATGATGTTAAGTGGCATCAGCTGCTTTGTGTATGAAACCAACACTTCCATGAAAACATTCATATGTGAAGGGTGTGTTACTGACAAGTTTGGTTATCTCTCTCATTTGATGAAACCAGTTTGAAGAGTTTCATAGGTCAAGGTGATCAAGGAGGCAAATTGAAACTTGAGATACTGGACAGCTCTAGTTTGAGTGAAGCTTTCTCATTTCATTTCATTTGATTAATTTTGACAAAATTTGGTTTCATGAATGCGTTGTGAATGCTTTGTTTGTTTTTTCCCTGTTGAGTAACAGCTTCACCATGTTGTTTTATCCACAACTAACTCCAGAGTTCGAAATACCCCATATATTAGTGTGCCATGGCACGGTAATTATTGAAATGGCACGGCTAAAAAATGTTCTCGGTGCCCTTTTGACACTCCTGATTTTTCAGAGACATAACTCACAGTTAGTCATTTAATCCCCCAAACAATTATTTTTTTCCAAACTAAGTAATACCATACATATTTGAATGCTCATAAACCCATTTCTTTATTTAACAATAAATTTCAAATGATCATCATCATTGTCATTTATTCTAAAAACATGTGGGCACACTTGATTTCTGAAAGGCACACCTAAAATATTTGTCTGGTGCCCTAAGGCACACTTAGAAAAAAAAGTATTTCTATCCCTGAATATGATGGTCAAAGAATATGCATGTAGGTTTTGTATAGTATAATTGGTGCAGTGCTTTCATTGACTGGCATGTGAAATCGTGCATGCGGACCTGTCTGGATTAATCAACTCAGGATAGTAAACATTTGTAATGTTGAGCAAATGTTGAAATTTGTTATGTGTATCTCGGTAAATTTATCTGCCATTTTGATTCAACCACTATTGTCTAGTTAACTGGTTTGGAAATGTGCGTCCAGATTTTTCCTCATATTTGGTTCTTTGGTGATCAACTTCTTAGTATTATTAAAAATTATTTGAAAATTGTGTGTCACAGAGACATTGGAGCAGTGTAAATATGTCAGTGATTTCACTCATTTGATCTCTTAGTAACATTTTTTCAAAAATAACAGTCAATGCAATATTGAGATTATTGCTAACTAGCCTTCGAAGAGTGTTACAACTTCACTACGCTTCCTTATTATTGATTAGTTAATTCACCTGGTTATGAAGGAATAATCTGCACTAAGGTCATCGCAAGTCAAAGACCATGCAGGATCAAAGGGAAGCAACTCACATATTTTTCACTGCTTTTTGTTCATATGTCAAATCCTGGGTCTGTTTGTGTTCCATTTGTTCTGCTTTGCTTCTTTTTGTCACATTATGAATTGAGTTTGAAAACTGAAATATTTTATTCATGACTAACTGATCTTTAAGTATTATTGCATTGCATGTAATGACCCAGGCATCAATGACTATACATGATAAGGCCTCAAAGTGAGACGTTATCTGTAGGTGGCAACACAAGCTCCATGCATTGGCTGCATGGATAGCTCCTCACCTGCGTAAAATGTCCTGCACTCTCACAGGAATTTTATATACATGTGGTTCTGTTCTGATTCAGTTCTCTTGACAAACTTTGGATAAAAATGTATATGTCTACTCACCTTTTATATCTTTTATCACAACTCCATTATTGCAAAAATATTTAGCCCCAACAGAAATATGGTTTTGACATCTGATACTTACTGTTTGGACTGTTTTTTATTTCCTCTTTACTGATCCTAATTTGATCACAACTAACACGCTACTGCGTTTTGGATTTTAGTGATACTTGTCCATACACATTATTAAGCATGTTTTCCTTTCCATTTCAGCATCTTTCCCCAACGCTTTCAGCAGTCCAACAGCAGCAGCCCAACTTCAGCAAGCTGCAGCCTCTCCTGCAGGGAAGCAGACTGAAGGTGAGTTACTTACCTTGATGAGCTTTTCTCGATCCTTGCTTCATCAATGCAAATAGTTGCAAGACTTGTGGAGAACCATCGAGCAATATTTGCTTTTGGATACCAGAACTTTAAAGCCGTATTAATGTATCTTCAATGCTACTTGAAGGCAGTATTTAATCATATTGTCATCTATTGGCGAAAATAGTTTTTCACAGACATAAAGTTTGTCCCTGACGTCTCAAGTATTAACCATGTTGCACACTAACATCTGAGTGTGGGTGGTTGTCAGGAAGAACTAGTGTGACATTGGTGGAACTGTTGTAGCACTTGTTGGGTTTTCATTGTGTGTGTGTCCCAGCACCCTGCTTCTCTCTGCTTGGATTACTCACCTCATACTGTCAGAGCCCTCTGCCCTGTTTCCTTCCTCTCCTCTACACATTACTCACTAAGTATGTCCATGCGGTCAGCCTTCAGTAATTATCTATCTTCCTAATCTGTCTCAAAAACATAATCCAGCATCTGGCCCCAAACTGTTCATCCTCATTTTCAGAAGATTATGTCCAAAATAAACTTGTCTTGATTATGAATTTTCAATCCGTTTCAAAAGGTTCCTTCCGTGTCTAGTCCCAAACTGTTTGTCCTCATTTGCAGAAGATTATGTAAGAAATAAACTTGTCTTGACTATACACTAGATAAATCCATGTTGGGCATCAATTCATGCCTTGAAGATAAGTCCCAAACTCAAAACACTTCTGATGATGATTTTCAGGTTTATGTTCTTTTTTCACTGCATCCCAGTGATAATTCTGGAATTTTATTGATCAAAGAGTCAGAAAACCCTTTTTGGAAAAGATGGTTATATGTATGGGAGTGCTTTAACTACGAGTCAAAGGCGTTGAACTTGAATATTGGTTGTATAGAGCTTTTGGCAGTGGCTACCAGTATTAGATTCTAATATATTTTGTGAAGACATTTGCTATATGTTTTCCTCAGACACTTTGTTTTTTTTGTTGTTGCATGAAATTTAATTTGCTAAATGTTTTCCCTTCAGTTTTGGTTATCCTTTTATATCAACGTCTGCAGGAATTTAGTGTGTCTGTTGAGGACATGCAAGGTTCTTTCATCAGTGCAGTTCTGTCTTCCATGGCACTTCTTTCTGAATTCTCCTGGGTGTCCCAGTTGTTAGTGTGATAGTTTTGCTGCCAAAGGTTCGAGTTCAGTCCCCATGATGAACTGTTTGATACTGGGTGTCATGTACAGGGCTCTTTAATTCCACTCGTCCGCTCGTATTGATGAGTCAAATTTGTTTCGGGCAAGGTGTGAAGAACATAATTTGCTTGTCCTAGAGGACGAGTACGTTTTCTCACCCAAAAGTAACATTTTTCTTTTTCCTTGAAGTTAAGCTATCTTAAACTTTGAACGAATTTAATTTTGTCAAAGATTTTGTACAGACGACAAAGTAAATAATGTTTTTTCTAGTTTTATTCCAAGCAAACATTTTGAAATAAAAATAATTTAAATTTATATTCATTGTGATGCATGATCAATAGGGCAAGTACAAGTTTTAGAAGGACGAGTGGAAAGTTCATATTACACGCCCTGTATGGAGAGTGCAGATTTAATTTTTCGAGCCCTGATGTTGCCAAGTGCCTGAAGTGACATAAAATCTCTTGGTGCACCTTCGTTTTCTACATGTGTATGTTACCTTGTTAGGGAAACATTTCAAGCAAGGAACTTCAACTAAATATTTCAAGTAATTTGTCTTACATACAATTATTATTAGAAATTGTCCTGTGATTTTCATAGGAGAGATTGTAATACGTATTTACCCTGACTTTTTGTCTTCATCTTTTGAGCTCTTAGTAGTCACAGGGATGAAGTTATTCCACATGATACCATATTCCTCTCCACTCTCTTCTGTCCACCACTGTGTACTTACAAGTTACTCTATATGGTAAACCTACCATGGCCAGGGTGCACAGCCGTCTCTCCAATGCATGTGACACTGGTATATTCCTCCTATTTAAACCTGTCCTGAACTTAATCCTTACTAGGTGCTGTGGTCCTAAGGTAGCTGACAGGGTAGTAGGTAGCCCTACCAGGGCCAGGGTGCACAGCCCTGTCTCCAATGCACGTGACACTGGTGAATTCCTCCTGCTTTAGCCTGTCCTAAACTTAGTCCTTATTTGGTGCTGTGTCCTAAGGTAGCTGACAGGGTAGATGGTAGCCCTACCATGGCCAGGGTGTTCGTTCTCTCTTTCCAGTGCACATGATACTGGTGTATTCCTCCTATTCAAGCCTCCTCAAATGTTGATCCTTACTTGGTGCTGTGATCTAAGGTAGCTGACAGGGTAGATGGTAGACCTACCAGGGCCAGGGTGTTCGTCTCTCTTTCCAGTGCATGTGATACTGGTGTATTCCTCCTATTCAAGCCCACCCCCACCCCAAACCTCAATCCTTACTTGGTGCTATGTCTTAAGACTGCTGAAGGGGTAGATGTACCATGGATTAGTAGGGTACACGAGTATTCCAGTCCATCCATCCATGTCTCTACACCGGAAAATTGCTGTAGACCTACCTAGCTTGGTTATAGTGCTCTGTCCCCTTACCAGACAAGTCATATCAATGTATTCCAGCCTATACCACCATAATTCCTGGTGTGTTCAACGGGTGGGGAATTGTAAAGTAGGCTTTGGATGTCACTGATTTTCAATGTTTATCTTGTCTCGTTGGATTTAAAGAACATTCTAGTTCTTGGATATTTACACGGTTGATGGAACAGCAAATTGGTGTATAGCGACGACGTCATAGTCCTAACTGCCAGTTCACCTGATGAAGGGACCTGGAATGGTCTCGAAACATCATGAGAGAAATTAAAAAGAAGTTTAATCCATAAAAATATCTTGGACATCAATGTACAACTTCTAAATGCCACTGAAAGACAGCAAATTGAAGCTAAATCATTAAGACATACTTCTTCAGCAGGTCATCGAAATCAGGAATCAAAACAGAAATTGTCTAAAAAAAATTAAATATCTATTCTTAAACCACAGTTACTGCCAAGGTAGATTTGATGCATTCCCATTCTGATAACATCAGTAGACACATACCTAATGAAAGAAGCCAAGATGGTTATCCAATTTGAGTGGGTATTGTTGTAACCCAAGTCGTGCTGGTGATGGGATTTTAGGAGTGACATCCCCTTCATGTTGATGGGAGTGTAAAAGTAGTGTCCCTCCCTTCTGGTGTAGAAAGGAGGGTGGTGTCTGCCTCGTGCTGGTGATGGGGAACGTAAGAGTGGTGTCCCTCCCTCTAATGTTGATTAGAGCAATGCTACCTCCCTGATGCTGATGGGAGATTGAAAGAGGTGTCCCCCCTCCTGATGGTGATGGGAGTGTAAGAGTGGTAGTTTGACCTGGTGTCCGTTGTGTTATAGGAACAGAGTGGGGACTTTACACTGCTAGTGCAGGGGAAGATCACAGCAGTAGCTTTCAAGGGAAGGCCTTGTATCAGCTTTGTGGACTTTACACCAAAAATTACGGTAAATTAGATGCCGGTAGATTTTAATCTAGAAGGGTTGTGGGAACAAGACTAGGGTTTTTATTGTAGATGGTATTTTCTGTAATTTCCCTCATGTTTTTATATTACTGACAACAGCTTCTGTCTTTGTGAACTTTCTCTTTCTTTCAACTTTCAAATGTGATTAATCTGCACTTCTTAAAGCAATAACTTGCACTGCTTTAGCTATTGTTACATCATGCTTTATCTGTATGTGGATTCAACTTCAGAAGCATTTCCTTACAGGGACTTGACATTCATTAACACAATTTATTCATAAAGTGATCTTTCAAATTCATGTAACTGATTCTCAATCATATGATTTTACAAATCTTCTCTCAAAGTCAAATGAGTTCTGATATTTGTGACAATAAATTGAACATGTAAAAGGAATATTGAAATGACTAATTCTTATTTGAAATAATATGTATTCCAAAGAGTGCTACAAAAGTAAAATCATAATCCCTTCCATGCCCCATGGATAGATTGTTTCATAGAGATATCTGAAGTTTAGTCCCTATTTCTGCTGTGCAAGGTGAGACATGTTGTTTTCCATGTTGCTGCTGTGCTGTGCTGACCTGCTGTTGAGATTCACCTCATATATCATCAGTAGCTTCGATTTCAGGCCCGGAGGGAGCCAACCTGTTCATCTATCATCTCCCACAAGAATTCAGTGACCATGATTTAATGCAGATGTTTGTGCCGTTTGGAAATGTGATCTCAGCAAAAGTTTTCATTGACAAACAAACCAACCTCAGCAAGTGCTTCGGTAAGTAATGCAGTATTAGACAAAGTTGTTGTTCATGATGACCACCTCTGATTTAATCTATGACTGTCAAACTTTGACCATCAGTCATTGTCCAGTCAAATTCCTTTTGGAATTGGAAGTTTAGCTAATGATGATCCTTATGTTAAAAGCTCTTCTCAAATGATTGGTGAAGTTTAGAATAGCCCTTCAGGAGTCCACAATAATCGAAAGTAGGCCATGCTTGCCACAAGCGGCGACTAATGATATAGTGTGCTCTTTTTTTATGCATATTATTTATAACTGCTCACATCCACACTATTGATGTCAATCAGATCATTGTGTAGTCTAGACTTAATTTGTACAGACTGCCATCTTACAGGGAATATTGCTGAATGTCAGAGTTAAGACAACAAATAATTCCAGTGGAAGCCAAAGGCCAGTATGGCTGCATTTCTGTGATGAGTAGGCATGCTGGAGTCTTACAATTATTGTTTCAAAACAAACTTGCCTGTATTTCTGGTCTGTCAGCACCATGTTGCAGTTACGGTTTCCAAAATTGTAATATCGTTGACCTGAAATATGTGTGAACGGAAATAATTTTCAAAGCTGTATTAAATCAAAATTCGCAAATCTAAACACACACACACACACACACACAGAGAGAGAGAGAGTGTCGAAAAATAGAATAGGCTTGTGCGTCAGATGATTACCGGTTTGTAATTTCAGCAATAATCTGTAAGCCTTTGTGTTGATGTGCTCGAAATGTTTAGTCTTGATTGTAACAGTTTCTCTGCCTGAGAGCTGTAAGTAGTGACAATACCATACCCTGATGCAGGTTTTGTGAGCTACGACAACCCCATGTCGGCTCAAGCAGCAATACAGGCCATGAACGGGTTCCAGATCGGCATGAAACGCCTCAAAGTCCAGTTAAAGCGTCCAAAAAACGACAGCAAGCCCTACTAGCTAGCTGTTTGTTAGCACGGTGAGTACCCCCAAGGTAGGAGCTTATCAGTAAATGCCATGCTGACAACAGTCCTGACTGTCGAGTTCCACAGGTGAACATATGGTGGGCAGAGAGGTACATGACAGTCTAAACATAGGTGGCGTTGAGAAGAAGGGACACTCATTGACTCATGCACAGACAGATTTGTCTGTGTGGTGCTTGTCTGTTCTTATGATTTTCTAAGAAATGCAAGTTACTTGGTGATAAATTTTCATGTGTTGAAAATGTACACTGCAATCCTAACATTGTTGTGATGGTCTATGTCTCAGTCATTGTCCCAAGTCGAGATTCAGCCCTTTTGTTCTTAAATTTTAACACTTTCATTGAAGAATTTGTGACACACGTTTCGATAAAATGAACACAAGGTCAGATTTAATGTTGCTGTAAAGATAGACATATCTGTTATCAGAATGAAGTTTTTTTAAATCATTGTTTTAAATGTCACATTGGACAATGGATATGGCAGTTTTGAACAGTTTACAACAGCGATAATCATTGCAAGATTGTCAGATATACAGTATATATTCAGAATCGGTATATAATTTTAACCATTGGATTTATGAGCTGTTCTAATACTCTCAACACTGTCTCAGGTTGAAAGATTGTCATCTACCTCTGTCTTGCCTGTATCTGATATCCTGACAAGATGGACATGGTTTGGATATTGATGTCCTGCAACAGTGTGTAAACAGCAGAGATGACCCAGCTGTTTGTTGCCAGTGACTGTCCATCTTCAGTGTTTTTTTGTCCCCCCATGTTTGTCCTGTCCTTCTGTATGCTCTATCAATGAGTCTTGGCACCATTAATGGCATGCTTTGTCTTGGTTCAGGAAAAATAGGATGTGTGGGCTTTGATGTCAGTGGCAGTGGTCGTATAATATGGAAGGTGACGATAAGCTGGAAGGTTAATGCATTGGAAGATATATTTGAAAACCCACTTCTTCAAAATGGCATACAACTGAAAACTTTGTGTCAGAGCTCCTCTAAGCGCCTTCGAGCAGACTTTCACGTACAGGAAACAAGCGCTATGTAAATGACTAGTTTGATGATGAATAGCAAAAGAATATATTTGGCACGAATGAAACCATCAGACAGGGAAGGTTATACTGAAAGTTTTTACCTTTAGTAGAGAATATGTCGAGACCTTGTCATTTTTGACAGTGGATTGTCAGGGAGTAATAACAGCTTATTGTCCAGTGCTTCAGTGAGAAGTAAATTCAGGGGATACTCATGAATACGGAAAGGACACGGTTAAGTTTTTTTGATTTAGTGATAGTCACCCCAGGATTTGAATAAATTTTGACAGTGTATGGCTAGGAACTTATGGTATCCAAAATGTCTGTTATCTGTCAATGGGCAAGATTTATTCCGAAGACATCATATCTGAACTGATGTTTCTGGAGACACGTTTTGTTGTGTGTTAGGTTGTCCTGTACGGGTTGTCCTGTATGGGTTGTCCTGTATGGTCTCCTAGTGCTAGCCCCTCTGCGATTTGATAACCCAGCCACCTGTTTGTCTGTCTCTCCTTGCTCTCTGGCTTCTGTCTGGCCTTTGTGTTCTCCCTCATCCACCTGCTGTTGTTGGCCATGAGGTCCATGACCTGGCTCCATCTCTCTCCTACTCGCAGGACTCATTCTCTGGCTCTTTTACTTCCCAACCTTCAAAATGTATGAATCATGAACTTGGATTTTGGTGCATGTTATGAAGGATGTTTTGTACGGCATGGGCAGGTTTCTGATGTTTGTGTGGTGTGCTGTCTGTGTGGTTTGTTGTGTTTCTGTTGTATCAGGGGTTCAATTTTTTTTTTTAAAAAGCCACTTGCCACAAGTGTAACTTGTCCTGACTAATTTTCCTCTTGCCCTGATTTTATGACATAATCATGATGATGTAATTATGAAAGAATAAATCAACATGGTATTTGATGTTAATGTTTACTGGACTATTTATTGAAAATTGATAAATAGCAAAGAAAGATAACTCTACTATATTATCATTGCAAAATTTAATAGCTACATTTTGAGCAGATATGAAATTAAGATCCAAGTTTATTTGCAGTTTGAAACCATAAGTGGAAATTATCTAGTAGCCCACGGACAAGTAAGATACCATTATTTGATTGCCCGAAATGAAAACTGAATTGCCCCGGGGTTCGGGCGATGGGATTTTTGAACCCCTGTGTATGGTGTGAAAACTTGCCAAATACATGTCATACTGTGAAGTTGTCATAAATTGAATGCAGTTAAGGAACATTTTCATGGAATGATAGTGCAGGTACATTTCTTGTGAACTCAAATCAGTTTTTCTCAGCGTGATTATTGAGGCATCAGTCCTCCAATCATGACACTATTCTGTTCTGTCCCATTCCTCTGTGAATCCTTAACCATCACTTCTGTTAATCTAACAGTATCACCCCATTTAAACAAAGGCCAGACTGACTAAATCCAACTGCTTGGGGCAATGTTTTTAATTTGTTTTCTTTTTGCTTCTTTTCTATGTAGATGACCGTGCCGTGCGTCGTGGCGTGTTACCCATGTTGCCGTGCTGTCCTTCATGTCTCCTCAAACAAATGAGTTTGCCTGTCACGTAAATAGCTGTTGTCACTGTAGCCCGCTAGCTTCCTCCGACATCAACGATTGGTTGATTCTCTCGCCCGACCGACCGACTGACCCTGATCTTGGGTCAAGGTTAATCCTCCCTAAGCAATGTGATCAGCATGGTTCTGGGCTACAGACTGCTGAAAGTGATAAATAACTGTGGTTGGGCGAGAGAGGGAGATGTGGTTTGTTTTATTCAAGTTCTCGTCCAAGGTGTACATGTTTCTGTATTGGGGTACCATTGTTGGGCGACACGATAGAGATGGTGGCACTGCCTGCAAGACGACAGCGGAAATGTGTTCAGTGATTCAAGCGATATCACCCATCATTTTGGTGAAGGAATTGTATTTGATTTTAATTTTGTTCTTTTATGCTTATTAAGACTGCAGGGATTACTTGTATCAAGTTGAGGTAGTTCAACATCAGCCTTAATCATGCTTTAGCCATATGAATATGATCCATGCTGTGTCCATTGATTATCCAAAGAGTGCTTATGGATAGAGATTTCAGATTTGCAGTTTAGATGCTTTTTTGCTTGCATATAGTCCAGAGAAAGATTTCATACCAATTATTTCCATAACTATTCCATAAGCCTGTCTTGCCATTGTATTATGTCTCAAGCAACTATGGAATCCTTACAGTATTAATGTCGCCTCAAAATCTGCACTTATATTACTAATCCCCAAACTTACACACTTTGCCGATTACATATTACTTGTGCCGGGACAACCTGAACAGTTCTATCAAGTGAATCCGAGTCAGGAGAATGTTCCGTGGCTGTGTTGGAAACCTATCCCTGCAGTCTTATGATCCACCATGAATTGTTATGCTAGACTTGGCCTCAGAGCCCGTAGTAAGGATAGTTGGTTTCTATGTGGATTCTCGCTACTCCAGGCCTTACGTTCTGTACCCAGATAGATGGAAACTGTTTCAATGTAGTTCATTTTATTTTCAATTTATATTTTAACATGTTTACTGTACCAAAGGGATCATTGTTTCTAATTCATGTTGTTTCATGCCACGTTTCATTTTCATGGTGGTTCGGAGTCTTCGATATTCAAGCTCCATTTTAGTTAAATGTCTCTTCATGACAATGTGGAGAATGTTTGCATTTAATATTATTTGTCTCATGTACATATACATTAGTAGGTGGGGAATAAACCTGAGAACATATTCTTGAAGTATTTATTACAAGGAGAGATTGTCATCATGTTACTTGACGTATTCAGAAGCTAATATCCTATAATACTGTAAAACAGGAAGGGACTTGTGTCACAGAATATTGCTTGATTTCATCAATGATTTGTGCAACCATACCTCATTCAGATTGGTAAAAAGGCCCTTAATTTAACATCTTTGTTCAATTTCTAGCTGTATCATGTCCGATATGTATGAAATGCCAATAGCTACAGGTGTAAATTAACAGTTCATTGCAGATCGCATTATCATGTAGAGTTTGTGAATCAGGCCCTTCCTGTGTCTGTCAGTTCCCCTGCTGCAAAGGTACCCCATTATTTAGTAAATGCAAGAGTTAGACCTTCTTGACTTCATCGTCTAACAACAAATGCTGCCTTATATTGTGAAGGAGAGGAACATTTTAGACATGTAATGTACTTCAGTTCTTTCTCAACAAAGTGATAACTTGTTTGCAGTGTTCGTTCTTTTTTTTAAATGAAAAGTTGTTGATGTTTATCGAGTTTTCTTGTTACAATGTGTGAAAATCAAAAAATTAATCTCATTTAAATGTTGTGGAGTTTTCCCTTTAAGTGAAAGTTTGTTTTTGAGGACTGTATTTACTGGTGTTGAGTGAGTCGTTTGAAATCATATGCTGAGTAGAATGGTGTGTCTCGTTATCTGCTCGTTGAGGCAAAATAGCCTTGAACCTTAGACAGTAGCTTGGGGGCGTCCGTATAACTCTTGAACTTGTAGACATTTTACATTTTCAACTTTTGTAAACATCTATTCATATTTATGTCAGTTTTATAAATGTAGATGTGGCACATATGTAGCCGAAATACTTGATTGTTTATGTTGAAAATTTAAGACTTGTTAACATATCAGTTGTGTTTAAAATATTTTATAGAAGTATTTTTCATTACGATGCTGTCTCATTGCTTCGAGTTACCATTTCCAGAATCAAAAGTACTAAATCATGCATTGCAGGAAGAAATAAGATGTAAATGTCAAATTATGTTCGCCACTTCCATTTTGTGTGCTGTTGAATATGACCAAGTGTGACCAGCCGAGAAAACTGATGTAAACCCAGGTGAATGTTCTATGTAAGCAGCAGACAATCGGGGTCAGGTTAGGTCGAAGACATCGTCAGTAGGAATATATCCAAATTACTTCAGTGGTATCTAGTCATAAGCTGACCCAAAAAAGCGATCTTTGTGGAAAGAGTGATATTTATTTTGTGGATGTTTTGTTAACTTGATTAAAATCATACTTTGCAAACTTGAGTGTTCATCTTTTTGAGCCAATCAAAGATTTCTGCATGGTTTATGTGTAAGTTCTGTAAAAATACCTCATTGTGTCCTTTCTCTGTAGCTTTAAACTATTTCCCCAAACTTACAACGCTGGTTCTGTTTCTTGAGGTTACAACAGTAGTACAGTTTTTGTTTCATAACAGGACTCTGTTAAGCATACTGCAAAACAAAAGTTGAGGACCACTGATTCTTTGCTATGATTATTGTTAATCTGTCATGTTATGTTGTGACATGTTATGGCATGACATGACAAACTACAGTCGAATAAAAGAATCCGCGATCCTTAGCTTTTTTTTAGTGGTATGCAATTGTCTTGTTTAGTCGCGTACTTGCACAGTCGATGTTCTCTATAGCTGCTTGCCTTGCATGCTACATAGTTGAACCAAAGAGTAGATTTAGCATCTGCATAGACCATAGTTTTACAGCATATTTTTTAACTGTAGATACTTACTACGTAGTTAGACCATATCAAAATTTTACCATGTCTCCAATTTTTGTGGATAACCTTATATGTGTATTTGAGATTGGAAACTTACGACTTACTTGAACTAGTGATGTGTCATGTTTGTACATGTGTTTGATTTGTTTACAAGATAGATTTTTTTTTTAAAAACACACAAGACATGCTGCATGAGTGACTCTGGAAGTATTTTTTATTACAGTTGTATGTTCTGGTTGTGATCCCAATAGTTAATACCTTTGTCAATTATGAGTAAAGTTTGCAATTATTTTACTTGTTACAACAGTTCACAATCGTATGCTTAACATCATTTTAGGTTCCGCAGATTAGTCACAGTCAGCCAATACGGAAATAGTTTGTCCCTTTGAAGTTGCTCTTATAAGATGTACGGTTACAAGTGTGTTACGTTGTATGTAAGCCCTCCAATATTTGAACACTTTGAATGAGTGAGTGGCTTTGTAGTCCATGTGTTGACTTGTGAAGATCAGACGAAGATTTCATTTGCATGGTTTGGTATTCTTGGTCTCCGGTATGATGTGATGGCACTGCTGCTTAAGTGGTGGCAACTGTAACAGCCCATACCGTTTGGTTTCTGCTTCACAGAACAGTATTCACCAGACTTATCACTCTCATTTGAATTTGTAATCTTCAGTTATAATAATCCTTCCTAAAGCAAAACATGCATGTTGATGCCCTCAGATCCGTTTGTCTGGCTGTGACTTGTCTTGATCCCCGGAGTTGATTGGACCCCCCTACCAATTTGCTGTCGGCACAAACTCAGGACTATGTGTTCTCTGTCCATGTTGTTCCATTCGGGCACGTCTTGCTTTAAAAGCAACACAATTTATTACTGGGTACCCATTTTTAACGCACCAAGCCTAACCTGTTACTTTGCAGTCTCGTTTAGTTTCACAGCTGTTTAACAGTATTGAGTCTTTCCTGTTCAGAGTATGTTGGATATAAACATTTGTTACAAAATCTTCATACCTCAGGTTCGTTGAATGTGTGTACATTTGGTGATCGACCCAAATCAGTATATATCTTGTATTATGGACATAGCGATGCGCTGTGGATCAGCGAGATGTGATTCCTTGGGTGATATCAAAAACGTGTCTGTCTAGCTGATATTTGGTTCTGCCCCTATCAGTATTTTGCATTTATTTATCAATCAAAATCAAAGCATTCAACTAGCATTACAAGTGCTTCATGTTGCGTTTTCGTCACACTATCTTTTAAATGACCAAATGAGGAGGAAAATCAAAAGGTATGATTGAGTATATTATGTGTATTTCTACTGTCAATGATATTGTCAAATTTTACTTGCTGGTCACAGTTTACAATGGGACTGGTATGATAATTGTGTTCACAAAACTGTCAGCACAAGATGGTGGCAAGAGGAGACTGTTCATTTGAAGCTTTACCAGAATTTGGAATTTGGTGAAAACAGTTCAAGAAGTTGTGAATATTATATCTCTTTCATCTGAACTCGTTAAAAGGAGAGTATTAATTGGAAAGTGCAGTCCTATATACTGGCTACCTTTGAGGTTCACATGAGTAGTTTGATGCCTTGTCACCAACTTGTGAAGCAGATGTGCAGGATAATTGAGGGTCCTGCTATTTTCTTGCCTTACTCAGTACTTGACGACATATCTAGTCAGATGAGACCTAAATCCTATAGTGGAATAGAAACAGCATCTGTATATTGGCTGCCATGTCCTTCCCTAGCCATTACATATAGATGGACGTGACATTTCATTTAACTGGGCTGCAGTAGACCCAAGACGTCTCGCTTGACGACAGCAGGGTATAGGGGAGAAATACACTTAATTGTATATTTGTATTCATATGAACTTGATTATTATCAAAATTGTGATATTTTTCACCTCTATTCTTCATGCTCATTTTTGTCAATTCATGAATGCTAGAATTGCACCCTCAGTATTTCATATTTCTTAATGGATATTTGCATCGGTGATGTGTTTATCAGGCCCCATGCTTATATGGTTGTGAGATGATGCCCTGAATCTGGACCTGGAGCTCTGGTTGAGTCCAGGGCAACAGTTCCCCATTTTCTGCTGCAGCCCAGTCGCCAGATCACAGTAGTTGGTATAGAGGTTTGTTAACCAGGTAACTCAGCATGTAGATATTGGCCCCGCCTGCCTGCCACCACTGGACTCGACTGACAGAAAGCAGATTTTACCTATTTTATTGTCCTAACTTTGATGTGTCTCCCTGTGGCCACAGTGTGTGGTTTCTATCTTGTATTAGTTCGCATTGTGATGTGGTTTGGCAATGTACAGAATGAGAAAGGTATTAAACTTTATTGATATAACATGGTTTGTTATGTTTGTCATTACAATTTCAAGGATGTGAACACCTGTCTTAACAGTATTTTGTAAATAAGTATTTTCTTTGCTCAAACACCTCAAAAGACATAGCCTAGTGGTTATTGAGTAAGACCTTGTCAATATGTTAATTTCTGTGTCCCCGGCCGTGCATGTTGCTGGAATACTGTGCCAAACTCAGTCATCAGTCAAAAGCATGACCATTATTGGTTATTGTCAATATCCCCATTGTAAATACTGTGCTTGATCTCGCTGACTTGGGTAACTCATATCCCCATTGTACAGATCAATGCTCATGATAACTGGATTATCTGGTCCAGACTTGATTATTCACAGACTGTCGCCATATTGCTGGAATACTGAGTGCGTCAGTAAACAAAAAAAGTGCTTGTTTTGTACCCTGCCCATGATTCCAGGCAGAAAAGGTCAGAATTGTAGCATGCTTGCTGAATGGAGCAGAAATACTACATGCATATGAATGCATCCTCTAAATAATTCTGAATTGTACAAATCAGTGATTGAGGAGCGTTGTTTTGGTCAGTTTCAGGACAGTCAGGTTGCTTAGGACATGTTCTTGACCAAAATCTGCATTTTGTTTTTGATGTTATACTTAGGCGATATCTATCAGCTGGTTTACTAGGTGCAGACTTACTTACAGGCCACAGTGCAAGTTACTGTAGTGTGAACACCAGAAACTAGGCTTGTCAAACAATATTGTGTGCAGTCAGATTACATTTTCGTTGCAAGTTCGTTATTAAAACCCATCTGAGTATAAAACAATGGATGCTGTGATCGCATACCAGCTGTACGTTGCTTGACCCGATGGCCAGAAGAAAATGCCAGAAGGCCTTGCTGTGGGGCAGTGATTTGCAATATAACGAGTGAGTGAGTAGCAATATTCCAGCAATATCACGACCAGGGACACCAGAAATGGGCTTCACACATTGTACCCATGTGGGGAATCGAACCTGGGTCTTCGGCGTGACGAGCGAACGCTTTAACCACTAGGCTACCCCACCGCCCTGCAATATAACGAAACTTATCTGCTTGCATGCCTGAAATCGACACTCTACATACAAGTTCAAGTTCTTATTACGGTGAAATGTGTTGGGATATGGTTCTGCTGTGAAGGTGGGTTGTAAATTACACCATGTTCTTACACTAGTGAAGTGGTGATGTCTTTCAATTAGTTTTGTGTTGATGTTATGAGAGCTCACCAATAATTCACACACGGAGTATTGACCTTATCAAGGAATGGAAAAGAGAATTTATGCAGTCTGCCATGATGCAATATACAACACTGACAGGTTTAAATTGCCCTGTGAGAAAAGGATGCCGTACATAGCCATGACGGTGAAAAAAGTCCAATGATTATTGTTTAACTTTGCACTCAGCAATGTTCCAGCTATATGGCGGCGGTCTGTAAATAATCGAGTCTGGACCAGACAATCCAGTGATCAATACCGTGATCATCGCTCAACGCAATTGGGATACGATGACATGTGTCAACCAAGTCAGCGAGCCTGACCACCCGATCCAGTTAGTCGCCTTTTGCGACACGCATGTATTGCTGAAGACCAATCCTAACCTGGATCTTCACGAAATCTACTCTCAAAAGATTAAGCATATATTGGAATGGAAAGAATAATAGCATGATGCACATACGTTTTTCCCTGGATACTTTATATAAAGAGTTGTACACGATAAATTCCACTTTGGACAAAAAGCCATTGAAAGTCTAGAATGAAGTAAGGCTAAGTGTTTCCTGGTGCTGTGAGGAAGTCTCCGTCAAGATCATCTCAGCCACGCATTTGGAGATGCTCCGTCATCTAGACTTCTTAAGCCCATTCTCAAGCACAGCAGCACGAAACAATCTTGTTGATGATAGAACATCTGTGGGGGGTGAAAATGACATCTGGTTGCAGACTTGATGCTTTCTTAATCATCTCCACCAATTCGGACTTACGATTGTCCGACACCATCGACATTTCAGTCCATGGGAATCGATGGGCGATGTTGGTTATCTTTAGATGGGTTTCTTTTATTCATTGTTCAGATCTAAATGCACAACTTCGTGTGAGAAATATCACAGACAGGATTCGGATGAAGGTAATGTTACAAAATTGCACACAGTGATGACTTCTTTCCATATTTGTTGGAATCTCCATGACTATCTGCTTCAATATCGGCCATCACCTGGAAATGATTCGACTACTGATTAATGGAAATTAACAGAGGAAAAGTATGTTTTGACTCGGGCAATTCAAGCAATAATTGACCCCTCTGCTATCCTTTTATCGATCTTGTGTATTCCAACAATTACAGAGTGTCCTAATTACACTGATACAATGCGTCAAATTCACACGGAGCCTTAATTACGAAGTCTAGACGGGGCTTGTAAATAGACACCGAAGATGAAGTCTATCTCCTGTACACGATCCTGTCACGAATATTATTTCTTAATGTCAGTGAGATCAACAGACTCTGAGATTGTGTATAAATTTTCGGCGCTTCCTGAGACCAATATGGCGCTGGGCTGTTGTTAGATTAACCAGGAAGTTGCTACCCTTTCTTGTTTTCGTGCCAGTTCAGTACACAATACTGGTAATTAACTGTAAACGTGTTGATGGACAACAGGATTCAACTGGGAATGTAGGAAATGTACCGACGTGAAAAGATTCCTCGTTACCACTACAACAGCGTTTCATACTTTACCAAGATGTTTTGGACCAAGGATTCTACCAGATTCACAACCAGTGTTTAATTATTTGTTACGAAATACCATTCACCGTCATGTGAGAAAATAAAAAGCTCAGCAAAACAAATTAAGATTTTGAGATCCCAACATGGCATTGATTATATTTCGATGAAAATAAAGAAAAGATTTTTTTAAGAGAAGATCGCACGCCCTTGGCCATGATGCAATTTTGTTTGTTTGTTAAACGCCGCAATATTCCAGCTATATGGCGGCGGTCTGTAAATAATCGGACCAGACAATCCAGTGAGTATGAGCATCGATCTACACAACTGGGATTCGATAGCATGTGTCAACCAAGTCATCGAGCCTGACCACCCGATCCCGTTAGTCGTGTCTTTCGACAAGCATTTTTGCTGAAGTCTAACCCGGATCTTCATGGATGGGTCTATGATGCATGTAAGAAAGGAAGATATTATTTAGGTAAACATAACTATTGGCACCGAACATGTACAAGGCAGTATTTGTATAATCGGTTACGGCTTCTGCAACTCTGTAATCCCCCCGTGCATATATTTAAGCTGGTCCATGTGTGCGCAGAACGTTTCTCAAAACTTCAAAATGAAATGTTGACATCCTTATGCTATTACCTGAGTGACTAAGTACTAGGACCTTATAATTTGAGGGGCGGTGGGGTAGCCTAATGGTAAAAGCGTTGGCTCGTCACGCCGAAGACCCGGGTTCGAATCCCCACATGGGTACAATGTGTGAAGCCCATTTCTGGTGTCCCCCGCCGTGATGTTGCTGGAATATTGCTAAAAGCGGCGTAAACCAAACTCGGTCAGTTATAATTTTACCTGCTTAAAATAATCATTTGGACACTTCCGATTTGACAATAATTGCAATATGTTTTTGTGAATTTAGCTGTCGCGAGGACGAACTGTGTCAGGTACAGGTGTGAAGTTTACATTACCTGTTTGATCTGTGGCATGCTTCCCATCTCCAGCTTTGAGTGTATCAGGTAGCCATTCGAGAAGACTTCAAAAGAATCTGAAGTACAAAAAGATGTAAATACGTTTTGGTAATCATAGCAACGCGGTTTATTGATCTCTATATGGATAAATATTCATTCATACAGCCGGTTAAAGCGTTGGCTCGTCACGCCGAAGACCCGGGTTCGAATTCCCTCATGGGTACAATGTGTGAAGCCCATTTCTGGTGTCCCCCGCCGTGATGTTGCTGGAATATTGCTAAAAGCGGCGTAAACCAAACTCAGTCAGTCAGTCAGTCAGTCAGTCATTCATAAAGCCAAAATCACCACTTTTAAAGTTACACTGCTAGGCAAAAGAAAGTGTACTCTCAAAATGAATTTTGACCAACAGTTTCCAATCATTACCTAAACGTTACTTGGCCGAAATCAGTCGCCTATTCATGATAAATATAAGTTCCAAAGCACAGCCATGATAACCATGTTACATACATCACCATCCAATAACCGTTTCTTAGTTGTGTTTTATGCAGCCAGTCTCAAACAAGTGTATAGTTTTTTCTGCACATCAGTATATTTATGTGGGCGACCTGTGATTCAGTTGACCATATACGGAATGATTGACATATTGCAGTACGCCTAACCACACGATCTATTAATCCGGCCTCTACAGCACTAAACCAATTCCATTTCGAGTTATTTCGATAAAAAGTAATCTGAAACGAGACGATTATAAATCACAAAATACCATGCTCCGTTTCACAAAGATCAGCAGGATTTCAGATACTGTTACAAAGAAATGCCAAGAGCTATGAACCAGGAGTATATTTCTGTTTGCGGAAAAGCACATTTAGATTTGGAATTAAGGAGATACCTAGAGGACAGATTATCAATAATATTATGAAAGAATCGTGTGTTCTTCGACAGAAACACTTCAGCAGATATATATGGCACAGAGAAGCCAGACATAAAGGTTCTTTCATTTTGGGGGAAGGGGTGTGAATGTATCTTAAAATCAACAATAACCCGGCTCCATAGATTAATAGCAATGAGTAGATAGGAGTGGGTAGATAGGGGTGAGTAGATAGGAGTGAGTAGATAGGGGTGACTGACTGACTGACTGAGTTTGGTTTTACGCCGCTTTTAGCAATATTCCAGCAACATCACGGCGGGGGACACCAGAAATGGGCTTCACACATTGTGCCCATGTGGGGATTCGAACCCGGGTCTTCGGCGTGACGAGCCAACGCTTTAACCATTAGGCTACCCCACCGCCCCAGATAGGGGTGAGTAGATAGGGGTGGGTAGATAGGGGTGGGTAGATAGGAGTGAGTAGATAGGGGTGAGTAGATAGGAGTGAGTAGATAGGGGTGAGTATTGTTTGACCTCATGTTGAACAATATTCAAGTCATATCACGGCTTGTCACTTTGTGTTGGACGAGTGAGTGAGTTTAGTTTTACGCCGCTTTTAGCAATATCACATCGGGGGACACCAGAAATGGGCTTCACACATTGTACCCATGTGGGGAATCGAACCTGGGCCTTCGGCGCGGCGAGCGAATGCTTTAACTACTGGGCTACCCCACCGCCCTGTGTTGGATGAAAGGTCCACGTGATGTAGCTTTTTACCACTTCGGTAAAATCCATGAGCAAGGGTACGGTGCTGACAAGATTCGGCTTATTATCAGGACGGACTGAGATTCGAACACTTGATCACAGGTGTCTTGTGCAATTCTCAACAGCGAATTGAACTGCTGTGCTGTAGATGACTAGGTTACCAGTCTCCCCTATTATATGAAGGGGACGGTGGGGCAGCCTAGTGGTTCTATCATGGAGTATTGCTAACAGCGGTGCAAAAGCATAGTCACTCACTCACTTTAATATGAAGATATTTGACTTATTAACATCCTTCTGTATATGTAAACACGTGTGCTTCAATATCTGTATATGTAAACACGTGTGCTTCAATATCTGTATATGTAAACACGTTTACTTCAATATCTGTACATGTAAACACGTGTGCTTCAATATCTGTATATGTAAACACGTGTGCTTCAATATCTGTATATGTAAACACGTGTGCTTCAATATCTGTATATGTAAACACGAGAATGTGATGCAAAGGAAACTTAAAGTATCAGTTGTCATGACGAATCAAAGCCTATCAACATATCATACAGAAAACCTATGAAACAATGACCCAAATGATAAAAGCACCAGTAAAATACTGTGCAGAGTCTTTAGCAGGGATTTCGTAGGATTTTGTCTGAAATGCTTTTATTTAAACAAAGATGGCTAGTGCAAAGGAATACCAAGCATTGACTCTCTTCAGAGGCAGTAAAGCAGTCTAATGGCAGAGAGGTAGAGCGACGCATGGTCAGATGGATGAGTGAGTGAGTTTATGCTGTTTCTTTCAGAAATATTTAAACAGTATTACGTTGCGGGACATCAAGTTAAATATGACTTATGGGAATTCAGGTTTGTATACCTTTCGACCATCGATATTCTTGACACATGTAACAGATTTATCATCACATGTTCAAAAGTTACCTATAGCCGTGGAAATCCGGCTTAGCTTGTAACCCACGCTTGTCGTAAGAGACGACTAATGGGTGGTCAGGTTGGTTGATGCAAGTCATCGTATCGCTTATGTATGGAATCCTGGAAGGGACATTGTCGCGTTGTCGCATTGTCGCGTTGTCACCCTCTCAAATACAAGTAAAAATGAGGCAAAATTAACCAAACTCTGGCCGACAATCGACATCGCGACAACGCGACATTAGGCCATTTGTCGCATTGTCGCGATGTCGGGGATCGCTGAGACCTTGGCTCTATTTTGGACCTCATTTTATTTGTTTTGAGAGGGTCGACAATGAGACGACTAATGGGTGGTCAGTGTCCCTTCTCGGATTCCATACTTATGCCTCGGTCGATGCTCATGATGTCAATCACTGTATTGTCTTGTCCAGGCTCGATGAACTACAGGCAGCCGTCATAGCTGGAATATTGCAGTGTTTCCCGTGAAAACAACAAGCAAAACTAAAGCCAACCAACGTACAAATATATATTTTGTGTCGCACTTGCACACAGGGTAAGTGAATGAGTGAGTGTGGTTTTACACCGCTTTTAGCAATATTCCAGCAACATCACCAGAAATGGGCTTCACATATTTGTACCCATGTGGGGAATCGAGCCCGGCTCTTCGGCGTGACGAGCGAACTCTTTAACCACTAGGCTACCCACCGCCCCATTGCCCCACACAGGATAAGGAGTGGGTGTATTGCGTGTAACGTCACATGAGAGGCAAACATGTTAACGATGTCTTTGACGTTTACAAGTCTGTGACACCCAAGAGACAAGTGTTGAAGGATCAAACTCGCAACAAATACAACAAACCAGTGTTTCACCGTTCCCCGAGAACCAATATAACCAACCCTGGACAGATTGCACAACGTACAATGCACTCAGTTTTTTCTCCATTATGCGTACCTTGTCCCCGATCCTCGAGAGAATAACAAGATATATGTCAACAGATGCCATCATATACGGCCATGTTTACCATCATCAACAGTGCAAATGCATTAGTCTACGTGTTTTCCTAACAAACTGTTTTGTTAACAAACATAGATGCAACAACACATCGCTAAAACAATCCCAACATTGTCGCTGGAACCGCATTACGGTCCTAGAGAGACGCCGTTCGAGTAGATTAAGTGTAATGTTTCTGCCTCAAAGATAATGCACGGAACATTGCTAATGTTATTGCAGTGTCCGGACTGCCAGTCCTGCCTACAGACAACTGCTCGGTAAACACCGTTATCTCCTGTAATCAGTTTTATTGCATGACCAGTGACCACCAAATAACGTATTGATTTGCAAGTACTAAAAGCAATTGTTCCAAATGGAATAAATGGTGTCATTGGATTGAATGTGTCGGGACTGGGATGGTTTGGTTACAAACACTATTTTGTGTTGATGGCACTGAACCTTCGACCCACCAACGGTGCGTTGTGTGGTATTTGGCGTTCAAGAAGGAATCGATAACTGAACAAGGATCAACGTTGCAGCAGACGATGTATCGGGAGATGATCTGTGACGAATTCGATACAGTTAAACATCCTGGGTGCAAAAAGGTTGGATAGATGATTCAATTAATGACCAGGCTTTCTGGAATCTCATACATGTTTTGTTAAAATCTACATTAAGTCTTCGGGCCAAAAAAGACCCCGCCCAAACCAACAGTTCCTAAAATCAGTCAGTTTGTTACAAGAGTGTTCGTCATAAAAGTAGTTTACTGTTTGGTAATAACCTGTCACTTGCCACGCTTATGTACTATATATACCACTCAAAACAATTTAAGGAACTCACACAATTGGATGCCTGTGTTTTGCTTAACCCGCCAGCCGTGACGGATTAATCATAGTCATACACTAAATCTTTACATTCGCTGAGCAGTATTGTATAGTATCTTGCACTTACAAACCAATCCCAGGAACTAAAGGACCTCTCCGAAAAGATGGAACTCACACAACTGGTAGCGTGTGTTGCAATATCGACTAGCCATGACACATGAATCATAGTCATACATACACCACCGTGTTCTTTAACTTGTTTCGAGTAGTATATAGTATCCTGCACTTACAAACCAATACTAACAGCTACAGGCGCTCTCCGAAAACATGTAACACACGTTCCCTATTTGGTTGAACTCTTGTCTGTGATATGTAAGTATTAAATATGCATATTACGATATAAGGTCATTGGTGTCACAGCGGGTTATCAATAATCTATATATTTTGTCGGGAACGCCATCTACATATATGTCTGTTTATATTCTCCCTATCGTGTTTTCAATAACCAAAGACCACGAGTCGTTTATTTCTTCTACGAGATATCAACATTATGTACCGCCGTTTAAAGGATATCAATAACATTTGCAAGCTTCAAAAACATTTACCCGTATTTAGATAATGATGACAGCATGAAGACGCTCCAAGCTCGGCAAAGTGAGACGAATCCATTTATAGCGGGGTAAGTTCAGTATTTTCTGAATTTTCCCAGA